CTACTGCTTTTTCTCCTTCATTATTTTCATTTTCTTGGTGAGGAAATGAATCGTGATATGCTCTGAGAGAGACGTTGTATTTCGCAAGCTTGTTACAAAATGCAGACAATGTAGATGCATCCCAGTTGGAATTAATTGGTGTTTTTGTGAAGTAAGTGGTTGCTTTGTGTGCACCATTGAGTCTTTCTTTCGTCAGTGATCCTATGAATAATGAATAAATATTTGCAGGCATTTCTTTTTATTAAGGTCTTTATGTGCTAAATCCAAAAGTTAGGATAAACCGATCGATGAACAAGCATGCAACTATCATGCGGAAGATATCAGTAGCGAAGAAAAGAAAATGAATTCAGTAGATTCTATTGATTGATGAATATGCAACGAGAAAAGGAGGTAAGACAACTTCGTCATTTTTAATGCAAGAGATTCGATGGGAATATCAAACTCAAGAATTACTGTGTTAAATAGATCAATCTGAGCAGCACAGAGCATAGTCAAATAGATTTTTCAACTGTCCATTATTGAATATATTCGCTTAATTTTCATGAAAATCACTATAAAATACGGGGAAATATGTAGGAAGTCGTTGCGTAGAAAGTATTATTAGTGTTTGTTCGTGTCGTCAAATCTTTCAGGATATCAATATATGGCAGTTGTGCTAACATACGGATATCGAATTTAATTTAGTAAAATACTCACCGCCCAGCTACTGTTTTCCTTCAGCATATTCTAACTCGTCGTAGTCTCTCTCTCTTTCTATTATACGTATGTCTAATGGCCACAGCACCGCCATAAATTCACTCAAGTGTGTTAATGATGACTGAAACTAGCTGAGCATGAGATAGAACAAGAATTGCCTCAAGGCGAAGTTGTAAAATATAATTTACATTTCGTCATGTGTATGTATATCTTAACATACCAAGTTTTTCAGTTTGGAGAGTTTCTGCTGCTTCACGTAATGTTGCTGCTTTAAATCCGCCATGATTAAGACTAATAGCAGCCCATGGTATTTTTGATCCTTTTGTAAGTAATATAACCTTCTCTGGGAAGCGTTGTTCACTTGCGCCTTCTAGTCGTAGAGATACTTTTGCTGGTTTCGAACGACGAGACTCAGCTGCCATATCTTGATTTTTTTCTATTTCTTCCTGTTCTCGTCGTTTATGCTCAAGCCGTTGACGCATTTCCTCCAAACTTTCATCGACTGGACCTTGAAGAATAGAAAGAAAAATGTCAGTTGCCACGTATCGGATCTGTAATGTACGTAAAACAAGTACATCAACTACTGACACAATCTAAGATCACAGTCAATTGACAGGTGTATGATGTTATTGACTACAATCAGCTCCTATTGGTAATCAGGTGCAACTCTGAATAGATGAATGTTCTAATAAAACCACTTCGCGTTTTCATAAGATAAAAATATTAATATCGATTATTACTCTTTACAATCTTATCCCGATAACCACGACGATATAAATTTGTTAAGTTCAGAAGAGAACACAATTCACCGTCGCTTAAGTGAGAAGAGAAGAGAAGAGAGGAGACAAGACGAGACGAGAGGAGAAGAGAAGAGAAGAGAGGAGAAGAGAAAGAAAACAGATGGCCATATGCGATTAAGAAGAAGAGCCAAGGTGAGAAATAGGAGAGAGAAGAATGAATAGAAAGAATTGCCAAAATCAATATACTTACACGTTTATGTTAAATAATTTTATCATGAATACTCTCCAACATTTTAAGAAGTACCGTTTGTTATATACTAGAGATTTTTAGCGAGGCGCTAGTGTTATATGATATAATGTGACGAATGAAGTCGTACACAATATGACTTACGATTGGTATATACTTTTTTCTGAGTTATAAAATAATTCATCAATGATGTTGCTGCTCTCGCTGTGTCTTCGGAGATCATCGTCCATTTGTGAGTATCCTTGAAATCTGTAACAGCTCGTTTTAGTAAATCAAATACCGGTCTAGTTTTGTCAAAATAGCCAGGTAGAGAATTGTCATTTATTAATACATCAAACACAGCTGAAGCCAACGAAACTGCGTGTAATGTACCTGCTAGTCTGCTAATTTGCACCTTGGCTTTACCCAAGATCGATCCTAATCCTTGATCTATTCCGTAGGCTTCTCGTATTTGAAGTGTATACTCGTCGAATGCGTTGTTTATCACCTGTGTAACAAATAAAAAATATTCAAGCTAACAGGTAAGTAATACATCGTGTTTATGAATTTCTAATTATTCAAACGTATATATTTTTCTTTCATTAAAAGTTAATTTTGAAATCACCTTATTCTACAAATGATATTATTTAAATATAAATGTTTTGTTATTGATTATCTAGTTTCTTATGTTACAAACAATTCTCGTTAGTATAAACTACTGGTCTACATAATCACCCTCAGAGCGGATTCCGAATATGAGTACAAAATGCGTCGTTCTTCACCATTCGTCGTTTGTCGTACATCGGCTTGCTCGGTACAATTAAAACAATATATGATGTACAAAAGGTGAGTTAAACTCGGTTCATCAATATTAAGCGGGATGATTTCGTCTGATAGGGGAAGACATGGTTTAGGAGCTGAAAACAAAAACCTAGCCATAAGACCATCGTCATCTGACTCATTAGATAAGCATGAAAATATATCAGCCGGATGCGCAGCTGCCCCAATGTTGAGTACTGGATTTTCCACTACAATATTACCAGATTTCGTCTGTCGTTTAACAACAGCGGATGAATTATATAGTGTACACATGATCGATCGGTCATAGGCAGCACCACCTTGCTTATAGAGACCAAATGACTGTAATAGAGTGACTGCTTCATCCCAGATTTGAATCAATCTAGGCGATGTATTCTTAAGTTCAGCTAAAAGTGACTCAACCGTAGCACTACAGTTAATTCGACTTTCTTCTGGTTTGATACCAGTTTGTTTTTCAATTTCCAAACAAGCATTTAAAATTGCTTCCGTAGCGCTTGATTTATTAACGCTGGGATACCCAATAATAGTAGTAAAGAACGAAATATTGGTTGGGGTTCCAGTATTTGTTCGAATCTGACTTCCATTGACAAAATGGCCGATTGCGGGTAATAACATAGTGATAAGATATTCACGTGGCATCTGACTACTCAAACAGATGTTGTCTATTAAAGCACATATGTTTTCATCGAAGATTTCCGTCACATTCATTGAATGCATTGATGCTTTATCCATGATACTTCTTAATTTATAGCTGGAGATTCCTTTGGAAGACATAGCAATTGATATATTGACAATAATAACGTGTCGAAAAACGAACAAAGTCAGTCGTTAGTGAATGAAATGAGTATTATTTTGTGAAAGCGTCGCAAAAATATCCTCTTCTCATATAAAGCCTGACAAAAATCGCTATTCATCCGTAAAGAGCAATTACTACTATCATTTAAACATACAAATCTGTTTCTTCTCATTTTTGCTTACCTGTTTCGAGCACGTGCTGGTTGTTCTCTTACTCTTATCCCCCCAAATCCCGGGTTGAAGTGTCGACACTGATTTTTCTACTAATATCAGCACATACCGTTATGCACATTCTTGAGAGGAGCTCAAATTGAAAGGATAAATGTATTTTAGTCAGTCGTTGCATTCGTTTTCAAATGTCAAGTGATTTTTGTATATTTAGCTAACAATCGATCGATTTCAAAANGTTCCAGATCAACAGGATTTTCATGCAGCGCTTTTAGAAATAATGCCATGCATTAGTCAACTTTTTACACGAAAATGGGGTAGAAAAGAGCACCATAGTTTTTGTAAGAGTCCATGTAGTGCTACAATTGTATTAGACGGTCATCAGAAAGCAACGCGAAGAGTTTGTGCAATTAAAAATAGCACAGTTCCTAGTATTGACGGATCTATTCGAAATATAAAGGTAGGATGTTCGGCTACTCCAGCTTACAAAAGTAAAAAATGTCAGATACATTCTTCAACTGAGGAAAGTAGTAGTAGTAACAATAATAGCAACAGTAAATCGCAGCCGTCAAGCACACGAGAGTCACGGATTCGTCACTACGTTCGTGGGCGATGGGGATCTCAAAAACCTCAATTTAATCTTCGTTGTAAAACTTTAAAATCCTTACAGTATAAACGTATTTTACATCGCACTTCTGGTATAATAGCCGCAGCATATAATTGTGGATTCATTTGTAGTCTGCATGAGTTATTCGGATGCGAATCTATCACACAAGTATATAATTTTCTAGTATTCATGTGTGAGAACATAGAAAATTTTCCGAATATTTTAGTTTATGACGATGCTTGTCACCTAAAGTTGTTCATTGAAAACTCGAGTAATTTTGTTCAGATAACTCGCGCACAACAGAAAATAGCGAAATTAAAAATTTTTTGTGATAAATTACACTATCGAAACCATGTCGATCCGTGGTGTCATAAAAATACAAATCCTTACAAAGATCCGATTGCAAATAGTACTAATACAGAAGTATGCGAGCAAATTTTTGCATGGCTCGCCCAGTACAAAAATATTGTGAGAGGTTTTAATGAGTCTACTTTCTTGATTTATATCTGCCTGCTTTGTGACTTATTCAACGCTAATAAATTTGAAACCTTACGAAAAGAATATATCTCATCACGTACAAATAGCACCAGTAATATTTCGGAAGAGTAATCAATTATTATGCCGTGTTTTCTTTTTCTACTTTTGCGCTCACTCTGCTCTTTCAATAATCTACCTAGAATGAACTGCTGGGTACGCACTCCGTTGTTCATTCATAATTTTGTTCTAGGTATGAACTTTTCCCATTCTTTTCACTCGATTTGTTTGTTTTAATAGAAATTATCCATTTGTTTGTTAAATCACAAATGATATTATTATCGTAGAAATGTTGTAGTGAACGTCTTTTTATGGAAGTAGAAGTTTTCAATTTTCTTCGTCGTAAAATATAAGCATCTATAAAATATATGTAATCAAAGCTTATTTCTCTGGTATTGTATAACAACATTTCACTTGCATACTCTTGCCTACGCTTGACAAAAAAAATGGTAGCAATCAAATTTCTTTTTACCATCTGTCAGTTTAAGATCTGACGTGGTCTACTCAGTACATTTTTCGATGCAAACCAAACGCTGTGTTTTGTATCAAACACATGTAGTTTTGTTTGACACATGTTGAAGGTGACATTTTAACATAATTGCAATTTGATAAGCGACAGATCACCCGCTGTGATAAACATGTTCGCCTAGAGCGGCTTTAATGCATCTGTTAATTCGCTTTTCACAACTTTATCCGTCAACAATCAAGGATATCATTTGCGTTGCTTTTTTTCATTCTTCTTTCGCTCTATGTGAATACAATTTGAATTTCATATTCGGCATATAAAATTTGTAACGTTTGTAGTAACAAATCAACTTCGAACTACTGTGTAGTCTGCTGTGCGTGTTGAACATTATCGTCGACTTATTGTGCATTAAAAACATTTGGTAAAGTACAGATCATATATACAAAGAGGAACATTAACACCATCTCGGCTCATTTGTGAGTATTTTAAAAGAAGCTTTAAAAAAGCAATTGTTTGTGACTGATTGTACTTAAACTCGTTTGTTTGTAGTTAATAATAAGCTTTACTTGAGAAAGAATCCAATCCGTTCGTGTTATATTCATTCACTGTTGTAAGACGATCGTTTTTCAAAATTTAGCAAAACTTCAATGATATTCTTGATGATAAATTGGAAAAGCTTTCTTCGTTTGTTTCTGCTGTTTGATGCGATTGAGACTCTTGCTATAAAAAGTATATTTCTTGAAAATGTAAAGAAAAGTACTCTTCTCCACCATACACAAACAAATACTGTATGGGAATACTCAGGAACATATTCTCAAACTGATAATACAAATAACTTCATTCTTGAAGTTCCTGTATTTCAATTTATGTGCGATGTTTTTCCGCCTTCATTGGCTTTTGCGATGCAAGCTTGTACACAGTATAGAAATCGTGTTTTAGACAATAGTAGTGTACGTCGATTGACTGAATTGTTTGATGCTCATATCGGGAAGAGAGAAAAACGTCAGTTAGTTGAAGGTGTGGTTGGAGCAGCTGCTGTTTATGGTGTGTACAGAATTATTGGTGATCTTTTCGGGGGAAATAATGATGAAATAATACATCGTTTAGATGAGAGTGAAAACTTTCAAAGACACCAAGAAAAATTAGACGATATATTAGTCACATCTGTTTTGTCATTAGAAGATAGTAATCTTGTTTTATTGGAAAGTTTTAAAAATTTGTTCGATAGTGTCAACGCTACACGCTCATTGATCCATAATCTGTTAAAAATGTCTTTGAAACAGCAAAGAGCATTTTCGGGTTGGGCGAAGTTCTCTCTGAAAAGTGAGATGCGTAGACACTACGAACAAATGATATCTGCGTTTTCACGAGTTGCTAATAATGACTTGAACTTAGACATGTTCTCTCCAGAGCAGAGAACTTTCGTTCATGAGTTTTTATGGAATCGTATTCGATCTAATTTACCAGTTAATTTCTCTGCTTCGCTAGCACAGTTCATCCCAAACCTACTTGTTCAACAGGTGATATCTTTCGTTCCCGTGAACGAAAGTGAAATCGTTTATGAGCTGAATGAAAACGATTTCAATTTTTTTGTCGAAACAGTTTCAGATGAGGTACCTATGAAAAACGAAACAATCGAACTCGATTCTATTCTGCCAAAGATTGTAGGACATGCTAGAATCGAAAATTTTTTTGCTATTCCGTCGAATACTTCACGTAAGAAAGCACATCTTTATAAAATAACACGCCTGCCACTGTTCGTTGATGAGAGGAGAGCAGAATATGTAGCAAACCTTCCTCAATATATATCGATCGGAGAAGACGGAAGTTCGTCAGAATGGTTCGAACATAGTAATCGGAAATGTACTGTTGACCAAAAATCTCGGTATATGTTTTGTTCCGTTCCAATGCCTACATTTAATTCTATTCAGCATCCGTGTCTAAGATCTATTATATTCAATACGTCAACAAAAGACTGTCTGAAAGAAACGGTTGATTTATCATCGCCACATATCGTGAAATTTACACCTAATATACATGCAATTAGCGTTCATACATCATTGCAATGTTTCGAAAAGGGCGATAAACGAAATCAAAATGTATTCAGTAATATTACAAAGGTCGCTATAATCAAAACCCGTTGTAATAGCTTTGTATCATGTGGTACACTTGATTTTTCATCTGTTGGTGGTATATGTGACAACGCCGAAAGTTATATATTTTCCTTCAACACTACTTATGAAAATCCATTTAAGCTCGAAAGATCTGTAAATCCTCTTGATGTTAGGATGACAGATTTAAACTCAATGATGGATATTTCATCGATTATTGAGTCTATTGTCTCTCATAGAAAACAGCTAGAAGACACCCACACTGAGTTTCAGTCTAATATCCATCGTACACTTCGAACAAAAGTGTGGCCGAAAGTTTTTCTTGGAATCTTTCTTATTAGCTCGATTGTAACATTTTCTGTTGTTGTTTATACAACGAGGCGTTGTTACAAAACCTGTTTAGTCCATGACCACTGGAAAAGTGTACACAGTCTGTTTCATAGATTTGTAAAACAAAAACAAGTTGAAGTTGAAAATTTACCACTTGATATGAACCTTCTTAACGAGACATCTAAGCAAAAAGATAGTTCAGACGCTGTAATATATGAGGGTAGGAAAGTTGACCATTCATATCCACTTTTGAATGAAGCTGCTCCTCATGCCAACAACCATCATTCGCCATATTCAAGTAGATCAGAAAAGGATGTATTGTCCTTAAAGCAGAAAGTAAACTTTGATCCTTTACCCTTGACAAACTATATTTCTTGTAATCCAAAGATGTCAGATGATATACGAACCGAAATTTCCTATAAAAAGCCGAATTCTTCATCAAGAAAAATATATTCTTTTTTGGGAGAGTCTGATTTAGTATCAAATCATTCCAGTATGACATCCAGAGAGTTTTCCGATGAGGATCATCAAAGTGAAGAATAAACACAAAATTTACTTTACACTGATGAAAAACGATCGCCACTCTTTTATTGATTTTATTGTGTGTCATTAGTTTTAGATGTGTAGCACTGTTTTTGTAGAAAATTTCTTTTTGAAATCATGTTTGTTCTACGACTAACGTAGTTTTCTCTTTTTTTATGATTCTAATCTACATCTCACTGTTATTCGATGCCGAACTAAATTTGCTTGTGATGTTCAAATGATCTGCATACTTTCAAACATACCAAATTATCTGCCACAATCACCATGTTATGAACGTTAATTGGAATTCTCATGCATTCATCTGATAAGTATCCCACTCGATTAAGGTTACATACATTGAAAATTGCTCTACTATTACATACGACGGCCTTATGGTATTATAATTACTGGTTGCATGATATTTCATCCATTCTTTCTTATGCTTTACCAATGTTTTTTTCTGTACTTTCCTCGAGATTACTTTTATGTACAAGCTGGATTTTACTCTTTCAAACTAATAAAAACACTGCATTTCTCGGCAACTAGATTTATTAGGACTTGAAATCCATTTTGAAGCACTTTCGATTGTGCAACGCCGCTGTGTAGACAAACAAATGCTTACTGCCAACACGTAGAGTACCAAGATTTTTCAAATTTATTCTTTCATCCAATAACTATATCAAACATACATACAATAAATACAATGAAAATAAATCGATAATTGTATCGTGTAATAAAAGCATGGCTTTCAAGCCGATATATNATCTCTTGATAAACCTTTTTTTCGTTGATCAATTGAATCAACCCTGAGACCCAGAGTTGATCATCACCTTTGAGAAACCCATCGTTTTAGGGTTGATTCAATTGATCAACGAAAAAAGGGTTTATCAAGAGATAATCAACCCTTGCGTTTATCAGTTTGCAACGGATAATAAACCCTTCAAGGGTTTTTCAAGAAAAAAGGGTTCATCAAGGGGTAGATCACGCTGATAAACGAATTTTTCAGTTATAAACCTTTTTTGAGGGTTGATTATTCTGCTGATTTTTTTTCTGTGTATTGGTGGGAAATGCATCGCTCTTTATCTTAAAATCCCCTGACTCCTCCTGGTCATCGTATACGAGCTCTCGAAAAATTCCTTGTGTACCATTCAAAAGCCCTAGTTCACACGCAATGTTATCGGCGATAAGTACAGGCATGTTGGGCACGCAGGATAAGAGACCGAGTGGAAGCTCAGTCTCGTTATCCGATAGATGGTAATAGATGACATTAGTTTAGCTTTTAATTTTATATAATACTTATGTAATGAGGAAAATTATTATACAGAATATGAGATTGCGACGGATTAAACACAGTATTCTATTTATCATACTCACACAATTTTCATTAAAAAACTTTCTTCATAAAAAAAACGGTCCTATGTCTTAAAAACATTTTTTTAGAGAATTTTAAAAAGCTAACATCAGATTTGAAGTGCCGGCATGGAAGTACCCCTACAAATGTGTTTTCTGAAAAATCGATTTTCGATGTTCTTTTATCCCTCGGATATACAAGCAAGCAAGCAATCAGACAATTTTTGTTTACTGGACTCTTCTCTACGAGAAAGAGAATAATATTATGATAACTATGACAAGTGAACGACAAAATATTTATATCAGCATGTCTATCTCGTAGCGATGAGCAACTCAATTCAGCTGTTTTTTTTTTGTAGTTCACTTGTTGACCTATACCATCCGATTATGAAAAGTCTGCCGAAATCCTTTGCCGAGGAAAGAAAAATCTTGTTTCATATTCATGATTAATAGGACTGATAGAAAATAGATCCGAAAACAGAGCTGTATAGTAGACTTCGATTGTAGTGTGGCTGAAAATGGTATGATTCACAAATTTACCGCATCATTGGCCAAAATGAATATCATATATATCCATGTCAGCACGATCATTCTCAATCTTCAATTCAATAGAAATTGAACAACTATTTAAACAGATTACTTATAGTGAAGCCTTTTATCTTCTTAAATAGACTGTTTGAGTTCTTTACTCTTTAACTATTTTTTCTGCACTTTCCCTGAAGATAAGTTTATCTTCTCATAATAGCATGTCCTATGTGAAAGNTCATTCTCAATCTTCAATTCAATAGAAATTGAACAACTATTTAAACAGATTACTTATAGTGAAGCCTTTTATCTTCTTAAATAGACTGTTTGAGTTCTTTACTCTTTAACTATTTTTTCTGCACTTTCCCTGAAGATAAGTTTATCTTCTCATAATAGCATGTCCTATGTGAAAGCAAAAATAGACTTGAAATTCTTTTGTAATTAATTTTCTTCTATGATAAACTTTCGGGGTATAGCTTTCATACTTTCAATAATAACATAATCACTTTCCTTCCAACATAGCATTTTTAATAAATGAACAAATTTCTGAGTAAAGGCTACAATAATTACGAAAGATTACACATTTTGTGTGCTAACAATAAATATCTATCGACCGGAGGGTGAGAGTGTGGGTGTCAGGGTACAGATATAAGTGAAACTAAATATATTTCTATTCCTATCTAGTCGGTTACTGTAAGAGTCATATAGACATCTACTTATATTTGAAATGATATTAGTCTATCGGGGATCGAGTTATAATATAAGCTGAATCAGACAAATCGTGAAACTTCATCGATATTTCTTGAATAACAGCTATGAACAAGTTTAATGAGGAATTTAAGACACTTTGTAGAGATAGAGGAGGTCATGCATTTTCCAAATATCCTGTAGAAAAATAGCAGCACAGAGTAATTAAAAATTATAAGATTGGATTTGTGTCAAAACCATCTTCGTGAATGAAGTTGAGAGAAATTTGTTGACAAGTTTGTTGTCCAGAATAAATTAATGAATTTTTTGTAGTGTTCGCTATTTCATTCTAAAAAATCTTCAAACAATGTTACAAAGCGAAGCGAAAGTCATCGGACTTATTCTAACTTCAATAACATTTGCTCTTACAATCTTTGCAATGATTATATCATCAGCAGTGTTAATAGCCCTTATTTATCAATGGTATCATAATCGTATAAAACAAGATGACAAAATAGCAATATATCTTTGTATCCACATCTATTTATGTATGCTGTTAGTGGCAGCAATTACACTATCAATGAATATGCGAACATTGTTGGGTGATTTAACTGGACAATCATTTGATTCATTATGGTGTATATTTTCGGGATATCTTGTTTTAATTCATATTTCGGCAATGTACATGGCATTTGTAAATCAAGTAAATAGAAATAATGAAAATGAAAAAGATATTATCATTTGAATATATTTTAGGCTTTTTATCGGTTAATCCGAATTGTTTATCCTCGATATCGATGCTTTCAAAGTTTGAAATTCTATACTGCTCTTTTTATAACAGAATATTTATGTGCAAATGGTATTCAATGTGCTATTATAGCTTGGGATGGAGTTATATATTTAATTGATGATCATTTTTGTTATGTTTCCTTTACAAATTTACGAGCAGTGATATGGGCAGGATCTTTTGTTTATTTATTGCCATGTTTATTTACAACGATGGTTTATTCACGAATAACAATATTTCTTCGAAACCAAACAAATACTCTAATATTAGCGATTAGACAAAGACAAGGTCGAGATTTTTCGATTGTTCGACGGATTCTAATGATGATTATTTTCTTAATTGCTCTCGGTATTCCAGCGATGTTCTTCATCCTAAGATTTGTGATAACAGGTAATTATTATCCGCTGACAGCTCGTATTATCTGGTTGTCAGTTGCAACGTCAACAGCAGGATTAAACGTTGCATCAGTATATTGTATTCCTCAAGTGAAAAGTACTATAAGAAAAGTGTTTCAACAACATCGGGTAATTGTAGCTAATGCTGCTATTTAACCAGAAAGAATGAACATATGAACTGCTTTTAATTTTGATTAATCTTTTCATCACGGCTCGGTTTTTCGAGGAAAATAGCTTTAATATGTTAATTTTCATGCGCGTCTACGCTCGATAAATGCGCTCATTGTTATTTCTTAGAATGTGCAGCCAATGTTTTCTTTATGTTGTTTGTATCGTCGCACGGTAGGTGTTTTTTGGCATGAAACTGAGTAGTTACTCAAGTCTGTCGTGTCACACATATTGTACAGTAACTATGAAAATAGAGAATCGAAATTTTAGTTTTTCCTTTACATTTTGCTCGTGATATTATCTTTTACTCATTGTTTTCATTTGTATGAAAGGTAACGATGTAAACCATTAAACAAAAACAAGGTATAGATTTATCTGATCAGATATCAACATACTACACATGTCTGAAACGGTCTAAAAATTGGTACCAAGAGGTCGCATCTGAAATTATATTGTTTTATGAAAGTCTTGTGCGATCTCCATTTCTTGGTATGTTATACGAGAATCTAAAATGCTATCTGAAAGAAAGTTCAACAAGCCAATCGAAACGGAGATTCGCGGATCATCAGCTCACAGAAAAAGAAAGGGTCTGATCGACAGGTCCGAAGACACTGCGGTAGCTGTTACACGAAAGTAGGGAAAACACTCAAGAGAAACATTGCATGCAACGACAAAGAGAATAAAAACTTTCTGCCCTGATTCTCACATTTTTTTGTCTTCATTGTTTTAGTGAACAGCAACACGATGTGCGATAAACGATTTGACAGATAGTGAAGGCAGAGCAAAATGTAACTTATACATAACCTCCCGTCTAAGAATGAACGAAAGAAAAGTATTTCTCTATCCAAATTCTTGTTAAAATATAGCAGGATCCACCGACGGACCCCATTGTGGTGAAAGGGATACCAAATATCACGAACATCGACTTTACCACATTGAGCACCCAATGTCAATGCATACCTATACAGACAACAAATCATTGTTTTGAGCTTTTGTTAACGCTATATTTTATCTCCAACGACAAATTTAACTTCGGCTTCTTTCAACTTTTTTGACCAAGATGGGGAAATTTTCTTTTTGTTTGTGAGAAATTGTGAAACTGAAGGTTATGGATTTGGTGAAGTATGATTCGAAAGGAGAATTTCGTTTAGCAATTTCAGTCGTTTCTTTTTTTCGAGAATAGGATTGTTCCAAAAGTTTGATACAGGATATGAGACCATGATTTTTCGTTTTTCCTTTATCATTGATCTTCGTATGAGGACGAAATACGCCACCACAATATCGGTAAACAGCCCATCCGACTAATCGTGTCTCTGAATCTTTAGCATCTGCAGTAAAACCAAGATCGGACCACATCGATTTTCGATCTCTAGGATTGATAACCATTAACAACTCGTCATTTTTCAACTTCTCTTTCGCCATACAATTATTCAATATTATTCGTGTCTTGCCGAAAATGCACGCCGCCTCAACTGTATATCAGATGTTGATAGATTCAATTGTACTGCCAAGCATCATTGCATGGAACTTGTGAAAGAATTTAGAACAAGGATCGACACGCAAATTGTGCCGTATGAGGATCCCATGTTGTTCGACATATTATTTCCACCAATTAATTCATTTGCTTAGACTCCCATTCAATCCTTTAACCGTTACTTTTTTTCCATTTATTCAATCATCATTTTGCTTCCAGAAATGAAGTGAAAACGTTTCTTGCCTCCCTATTTGTTTCATGATCTTTATTAAAAAAATACTATTTTATCATATTACATGATGATAATTAGTCATCATCACCAGTCGACGCGAGATAATACAATAGAGTATCTGTGACATCATCTGTTTTCTTCATCTGATTATAACAAAACTCTCAATCCACTTTATTCATGTTGAATCAAAATACTTTCAAAGTCACTTTGATATTTCTCATCCTGAATTAGTTCAGATTTTCACATTTGACAACAACAACCTAACCAATTATGGACATGTGTTTTCGTACGGGAGGATTGGACATTTCACAAGCAAGTTTCATAGACATCGGACTATTTGCATTCTGCTCTTTCTCTTTCTGTTGCATGTCGACATTCCGTTCATGAGAAGGAATTTTCTGAAAAAACTATTTATGATAATATTTATAACGATGGAAGAAAACGTATTCGAATATAGAGCGATGTTGAGCATCACATATGTGCATAAAAGGAGAAATATTATATCACCAACACCATTTGTAACCTTTTCTATGCGTATGAAATCATATTCGGATATGACGGGTGAAAGTGATGATAGTAAAATTATTTCTAATCCATCAAATATTTAATATTCTTCTCAATTGATAGTTTTGTACACGATTGATGCTTCACAAATCAATAATCTGCAAAATTTTATTTTTATCTCGAAAGAAAAAAACCAGTTGATCTTTGAAATCAAATATTTAGGCTTCTTGGCATCTGTTAAACTCGGTCAGAATAAATTTATGATGACCAAAGTGAACTACAAGCTTAATTTTATCAAATCCGATCACTTTCCTGTATGCTTTCATATCCTGCTCAGCATGCGTCTTTCGAAAACAACCAACATTCATCATTTGGATAACATAGTTGATTTCCAAGAGACAACTGATGTCAGATTCGAGTTTCTTCCACTCGATCATGTTAAGATACATCACTTTCTGATGGACTTTCATTCATTTAAAAAATGCTTATCTCTAATTGGGTAGAACAGAAAAATACAAGTAAATAAATGTTAATATTTGCCTTGTTTTATGACGTCAACAAATATTACGAACACAACAACCGGGATGTCATTTATTCACCTTTGGTAGAATAGATCGATATATTTTGATGTTATTGCATAAATTATATGACAGAATTTGCGTAAATCGATTCGATGGGCACGTTTCTGTGTAGTCAAACATTTTCTAATACTCATAGACGTCATTTTTTCTATCATTCTGTATATTTTATTGCTAGAAAAAGAAACCTGTATAAACAATATTAATAGTTGTTTTTCATATTCTTACATTTATCAGTTGTCGATTTTATTAACAAGAGAAAATGTCCGCGAGTAGCATTATACTGCAGATAGATATCTCTTATCGAACCGAATGAAACAATCCATGCATATAATTACTAATCGAAATGGGTTAGAAATATAGAACACAATCATACAGCGACCTTTACACATTAACATTATCAAATATATTTAGTTATACCATTCGAGCATTACTTTCTTTACAGTAGGTGGGCGTTTTTTAAGGCAATATCGTCATTTTAAATACATATGAGAAATGTCACACAAATACTATAATTATAGATCAAAAAGATTTTAATGAATTGTGAAGCATTTACACTAGAAAATCAAATCGGCAGAACTGACTCATCTATAAGTCACCATGATGCAAAGACCATTCACAACAATGAGGATGATGGAATAGTAGCACAGACAGATGAGTCTGTGAAAGAAACATTTCTACCATCCGGGTCAAAGGCTAACAGGGGATATTTTATATTTGTATGTTTTACAATTATAATAATTATCACTGGTAGTCTAATAGTTTATTATAAATCACCAGAACCACCAAGTATATTCTTTAATTTTATATTCATACTCACATAATATGATTTGTAGGTAAAACATGTACATATGTTCTGAAATCAATGGCCGACAGTTCAATTGGGTTCGATTCATATCCTCAATCTGTAAATGTTGCTGACTTTAATAAAGATGGTCTTTCAGACATAATTATAGTCAATGCTGGTACGAACAATATCGGTGTTTTTCTTCGACAAGAAGATGACTCATTTTCAGATCAAATTATCTATTCAACTGGTTCTGGTTCAGCTCCATCTGCGTTGGTTCTTGCTGATTTTAATCATGATCAACAAGTGGATGTAGCCGTAGCAAATTACGGTCGAAATAACATTGGCATCTTTTTAGGAACGATCAATGGTACATTTACATCTCAAAAGATTTTTTCAACTGGGTCATCTCGTCCCATATGGATCGATATCGGTGATTTTAATTCTGATACACACGTTGATTTAGCCGTCGTCAACTATGGCACCGATACGATAGGTATTCATTTTGGAGATGGTTATGGTAATTTCGCTCAACCTATTTTGACTTCAACTGGATTTGATTCGATTCCATATGCACTTGTTGTTGCTGATCTGAACAATGATATGAAATTGGATGTTGTCGTCGCCAATTATGGAACAAATAATATCGGTATATTTTTTGGAAATAATGATGGTTTATCCGACAACCAATTACTGATCAACACAGGTGTTAACTCTCAACCATTTGCGATTAATATTTATGATTTAAATAATGATACATATTTGGATATCATTGTTACTTGTTCCGGTACAAACCGTATTGGTGTTGTCTTAGGTCTTGGTAATGGATCATTTGCAACAATAGTAGAATACTTTACTGGTGTTAAAGCATATCCCGTTTCTCTAGCCATTGGTGATATTAATAAAGACAATAATGCTGATATAGTTATTGCTAATTATGCTGCTGGTAATATTTGTATTCTATTCGGATATGGCAATGGTCTTTTCACAGAATATTCTGTTCTTTTCTCCGATTCTCAGTATAATCCATATTCAATTGCCCTCAATGATTTCAACAACGATTCATATCTTGATATTGCTACTGTTGATTATAATTATAATTATTTAGATATTGTTCTCACATATAGGAGCTACAGTTTTCTCGGTCAAATTAGTTATTCAACAACTGGTTTGAATTCCTATTCTGAATCCGTCTTCCTAGCCGATTTTGACAATAATAATCAATTAGATATGGTCGTAGCCAATTACTGGACAAATGACATTCTTGTCTTTCTTCGGTATACTAACCAAACATTTGCAGATCAACAAAGATATTCAACTGGACGTTCTTCGGGTCCAACTGATGTTATCAGTGCTGATTTTGATAATGATAATCATTTGGATATAGCTGTTGCCAACTATGGAACGAATACGATGGGTATTTTTCTCAACTATGGTAATGGAACTTTTTCAAGTCAAACAACATATTCAACTGGTAGTAATTCTCAACCAATTGCACTTACTAGCGGCTTTTTCAACAATGATCCATGGATAGATATCGTTATTCTTAATTATCGAACTGGAAGTATCCGCATTTTTCTCGGAATAGGTAATGGATCATTCATAAATCAAATCACTTATTCAATCAATAGAAATGCTCAACCATATGATGTCATTATTAGTGATTTTAATAAAGATAATTGCTCAGATATTGCTGTTGCTAATTATGCAACTAATAGTATAAGTGTTTTTATTGGATATGGCAATGGTACTTTCTCATCACAAAAAACATTTTCAACGGGATCTAATTCCGGACCAACATCTCTCGTCAGCAGTGATATCAACGGTGACAAATTACTTGATATAATTGTTGCTAATTATGATAGTAATACCATAGGAATCTTCTATGGTTATGGAAATGGAAGTTTTAAATTAAACATGACTATTTTCACTGGTACCAATAGTGAACCAGTAGCAATTACTATATCCGATATGAATAACGATACATTACCTGATATCCTCGTTACCAACTATGGTTCCGGTAATGTTGGAATTTTTCTCGGTCAAGCGAATAATAGTTTTTCTACTCAAATGAGTTATTCAACAGGAGATAATTCAAATCCATATTCAATTGCTGTAGGTGATTTAAATAATGATGGATATTTTGATATTGCTGTAGCAAATTATGGTACCAGTTCTGCAGGACTTTTCTTCGGATATGGAAATGGAAGTTTCTCTTCGCAAATAACTTATTCAACTAGAGGTTCTTCTAATCCCAACTGTGTTGCTGTAGGAGATTTTAATAACGATACTCATTCGGACATTGTTGTTGTTAATTACTGGGCTGGTTGTTTAGATATCTTTCTTGGTAATGGTAATGGAACATTCTATCATTATATGACTTATTCGACTGATTCTGGTTCGTATCCATATGCTGTGGTCATAGGTGACTTTAATGGTGATCTCACATTAGATCTTGCAATCGCTAATTCTGGAACGAACGTTATTGGTATTTTCTTAGGATACGGTGATGGAACGTTTTCTAGTCAAACAACATACTCAACTGGCGCTGATTCTGAACCATATTCAGTTGCAATTGGCGATTTAGATAATGATAACAGATTAGATATTGCGATTGCAAATTATTACAGTAATACTATTGGAATTTTACAAGGTTTCGGCAATGGATCATTTGCTAATCAAACGACTGTTTTATTTAGAGCATATTCTGGGCCTCGTTCAATTGTTCTTAGTGATTTGAATAATGATGGATATTTAGATATTGTAGTAGGTTATTATGACGCTGATAGTGTTGCCATATCTCTGGGATATGGAAATATGACTTTCTCCAATCAAACTTTATATTCATTTGCTACTGGCTCTACTATATATGATGTTACTGTGGGAAATATCAATGATGATAACCACCCAGACATAATTGTGACAAGTTATTATAGTCGTACTGTTACTATTTTACTTGGAAATGGTGATGGGACATTTATTATATCAGCGTCGCATTCAACTGGTAGTGGTTCACGGCCATTGTCAGTCCTTGTTCGAGATTGGAATAATGATAATAAAACTGATATTGCTGTTACTAATTGTAACATTGATAATATATTTATTTTAATAGGTATTGGCAATGGAACATTTATTGAATCAGCAAATTACTCAACTGGTGAAGGTTCTTGTCCAACCTGGATCATGTCTGGCAACTTTAACAACGATAATTTATTGGATATTGTCGTTGCTAATTACGATTCAGATACAATTGGTGTATTTCTCGGATCTACTTATATAAGTGCAACACGTGAAGATACATATTCGACGGGATTATCTCCACATCCACGAATTGTTACTCTTGCTGATTTTAATTATGATGATCAATTGGATATTGCACTTGTTAATTATCAATTGGGAAATGTTGGAATATTATTAGGACATACAAATGGAACATTTCCATTACAAACCATGTTTTCAATCGATGATTTATCTTTTCCTACTTCACTTGCTCTCGGTTATCTTAATAATGACACCTATATCGATATTACTGTTGCTAATTCTGGGACTGAAAATGTGGCAATTCTTTATGGACATGGAAATGGTAGTTTTACTCAACCTTCGATGTATTCAACTGGACTCGATTCAATACCTCAATCTGTATCGATTGGTGATTTCAATAATGACAAGGAACAAGATATTGTTATTGCTATTTCAGGTACGAACAATGTGTTAACTCTATTGAAATATGATACGGGAGCATTTCAAAGACAAACACCATTGAAAACTGGAATGAATTCAATTCCACGTGCAGTAGCTATTGCTGATTTTAACAAAGATGATCGATTAGATTTCGTTATTCTCAATTCTGGAAATGAAAATATTGGTATTTTTCTCGGATTAGGTGATGGTACTTTCTCAAATCAAACAACATATCCTCTTGAAGATGGTTCTAATCCATGGACAATTGTTGTGTATGATATTGATAAGGATGACTGTTTAGATATTCTGGTTGCCAACTCTTGGACTGATGATATAGCAATTTTTCTTGGATATGGCAATGGTACATTTATGGAGCAAATAACGTATTATATTGATTACAATACTGGACCGGAAGGAATTGCCATAGCTGATTTTGATAATGATGGCCGATGGGATATCGTTATTAACCTTCAATTCTCGAATCAAATAGTTGTTGCTTATGGGTATGAAAATGGGACATTTTCAAATAAAGTTTTCTATTCAACCGGTACTTATTCATATCCAGGTGCAGTAGCAGTTGGTGATCTCAACCATGATAACTATGTAGATATAGTCGTTGCCAATTATGGAACTGATGATATTCGTATTCTTTATGGGCAAAGCAGTGGTAACTTTTCCAATACGAATTCTCTTTCATGTGGTTACAACGCAAATCCGAAATCAATTCTCATCATTGATTTAAATGAAGATGAAAATCTGGATATTGTTGTCGCTAATTCAGGTACAGACAATATTGGTATCTTTTTCGGAAGAAGCGATGGTATGACTTTCGAACAAAAGTTCCTCAGTACTGGCGTCGGTTCTGCGCCATATGGATTTGTAGTGAATGACATCAATAATGACAAACAATTGGATCTCATTGTCGCTAATTATGGTACAAATAACATCGGTGTTCTTCTTGGATGTGTTAATGGATCTTTTTTTAGTCCATTAACTTACTCAACCGGTGATTATTCTCAACCATGGAAAGTAGCACTCGGTGATTTTAATAATGATAGTCGTCTAGACGCTGTTGTCGCCAGCTTTGGTACGAATGTTGCAGATGTATTTCTTGGATTTGCTAATCACGATTATTTGTCGGCACCACCTTTTTCGACGGGAATATCTTCTCAACCAACGTCGACTCTTGTCGTAGATTTAAACAATGATACCAGATTGGATGTTATCGTTGCTAATAATGGTACCAACAATATTATGATAATTTTTGGAACCGGTTATGGTACTGTTATGAATTGATCGATTTATGCCCCTGGCAATGGTTCTCATCCATGTTCAGTTGCAATTGGTCATTTCAATGATGATAATCGATGGGATTTGGTTGTCGCTAATTCAGGTACAGATACTATTGGAGTATTTTTAGCTGATGAAACTGGATTGTTTTCAAATCAAATTACTTATTCCACTGGTTTACGTTCTCGTCCATATTCTGTTGTTGTACTTGATTTTAATCATGATACTCATTTGGATATTGCTGTTGCCACTTATGGTGCCAATAGTATTGGCGTTTTTTATGGTGATGGAAATGGTACTTTTACGGAACAACAAATCTTTCCAACTGGTTTCAATTCACATCCATATGCACTTACGATCGGTGATATAAATAAAGATAATCTAACTGATATTGTTGCTACGAATAATGGCTTTGGAAATTTAGACGTTCTTATGAAAACTTGTTAAGAAACTACTTTTCTGAGGGCTGCCCAATATCAATACATAGTAACGATCTCCCTCGTGTATTACTATGTATAATAATTGTACAAACAGATTCACTCACTTTAGCTCTGAAAAAGAAGAGAATCGTTTACTTTTACTNAAATCCACTCATATTCCTCAGCTTTTCAGGATACACTTGTATTTGGGTATCGAGCTAGATACACCAAATCCACTCATATTCCTCAGCTTTTCAGGATACACTTGTATTTGGGTATCGAGCTGGATACACCAAATCCACTCATATTCCTCAACCTTCATGATGGTCGTATTCTTTTGTAGTATTAAAGTAATTACCCGTGGACAGAACAAGCTGATATCGATACCGGTATTCTTTCGTTGATCAGTATCAGGTTATCGTGACGTTTGGCTGTCGATACCCGGTGTAATGGTATTATGACATCTGTGATGCACGGCGGGAAAATAAGGACTGGAAGCGTAGAAATTTGAATTATACTGATTTTCTACCTGTTCTAGCTCTTCAACACGTGAGATGTTTGACATAGATATTTTTTATTTGCAACGGGTACTCCCTCTAGTAAAGTATAAAATGATCTTAAAAACAGAACAAATTCATAAGATAAACCATATCTACATATTTGACTACGCAAAATTAATGAGTGAAATGAAGAAACTTTTAACTGACTGAAAGAGACCAATGCTTAGCTGTCGAGGTTATCTTTATACCGTCGAAAAAACTAACGACGAAAAAATTCTTTTTCGATGTAAAAATTGTGATTGCAAAGGTAAATTCAACAAATAGAATTCTACATTCACTTTCTTTTTAAACTAGGGCGATGTAAAACAAATTTAGCTATGGATACTATTTTGTCTGAACCAACCGAGCATTCACATGCCCAAACTATAGATCAACTTCCAGTCATCGAATTGAGAAACAAAATCAAATCAAAAGCTGCCAACAGCGAAGAAGTCACAAGTAGCATTTTATTTTCTAATCTAATTACGTTCTTTTCCTTTTAGATGCTGCTGGCTAATTACCACAAACCAACTCGCCTCTTCGAACGATTCGCCGTCAACGCCAAGCTAAACCAATAACTTCTGACAACCGATCGCCTGATCAACTGAAGCAAACAGATCGCGGCGAAAACTTTCTTCTCCATGAAGAAAAATACTTGATTATTTTCACTACCAAGTCCAATTTATCCGTTTTGAAAATGTGCAAACATTGGCTTGCGGACGGAACGTTCTCGGTAAGAAGAAAAAACATTTCTGTATCGAAAAAAAAGAAATACCGTTTCACCAACACCATTTGTTATCTTTTCTATGCGTATGAAATCATATTCGGATATTACGGATGAAAGTGACGATAGTGAAATTAGTTCTAATCCGTCAGATATTTAATATTCCTCTCAATTGATAGTTTTGTACACTATTTATGCTTAACAAATCAATAAACTGCAAAATTTTATTTTTATCTGGAAAGAAAAACCAATCGGTCTTTGAAATCAAATATTTCGATTGTCCAATATATGGTAAACTTGGTCGAAATAAATCTATGATGACCAAAGTAAACGACAGGCTTGCTCTCATCAAATCCGATTACTCTCCTAAAATTTCGTATTCTGCTCAGCATGTGTTTTTCGAAAGCAACCAACATTCATCATTTGGATTCGTTTATTCTTAATTCTATGCGCAGAAGCCAATAGCATAGTTGATTTCCAAGAGACAACTGATGTCAGATTTGAGTTTCTTCCACTCGATCATGTTAAGATGCGTCACTTTCTGATGGATTTTCATTCATTTTGATTGAGTAGAACAGAAAAATACAAGTAAATAAATGTTAATATTTGCCTTGTTTTTACGACGTCAATAAACATGACGAACCAAACAACAGGGACGTCACTTATTCACCTTTGATAGAATAGATCGATATATTTTGATGTTATTGCATAAATCGATTCGATGGGCACGTTTCTGTGTATTCAAACATTTTCTAATACTCATAGACGTCATTTTTTCTGTCGTTCTGTATATTTTATCGTTAGAAAAAGGAACCTATATAAACAATATTAACACTTGTTTTTTACGTTCTTACATTTATCAGTGGTCGATTTTATTAACGAGAGAAAATGTCCGCGAGTAGCCTTATACTGCAGATAGATTAATAGATACCATTTATCGAATCGAATGAAACAAATCATGCATATAATTACTAATCGAAATGGGTTAGAAATATAGAATACAATCATACAACGACCTTTACATATTAACATTATCAAATATATTGAGTTATATTATTCGAAAATTATTATTTCCTTTGCAGTAAGTGGGCGTCTTTTTAAGGCAATATCCTCATTTTAAATACATACGAGAAATGTCACACAAATATTATAATTATAGATCAAGAAGATTTTAATGAATTGTGAAGCATTTACACTAGAAAATCAAATCGGCAGATCTGACTCAGTTATAAGTCAACATGAAGAAAAGATCATTCAAAACAATGATAGTAATGAAATAGGAGCACAGACGGATGAGTCTGTGAAAGAAACCTTTTTACCATCCGGATCAAAGACTAACAAAGGATATTTTATATTTGTATGTTTTACAATTATAATAATTATCATTGGTAGTCTAATAGTTTATTATAAATCACCAGAACCACCAGGTATATTCTTTAATTTTGTATTCACACTCACATAATATAATTTGTAGGTAAAACATGTACATATGTTCTTAAATCAATGGCCGACAGTTCAATTGGGTTCGATTCATATCCTCAATCTGTAAATGTTGCTGACTTTAATAAAGATGGTCTTTCAGACATTATTATAGCCAATGCTGGTACAAACAATATCGGTGTTTTTCTTCGACAAGAAGATGGCTCATTTTCAGATCAAATGATCTATTCAACTGGTTCTGGTTCAGCTCCATCTGCGTTGGTTCTTGCTGATTTTAATCATGATCAACAAGTGGATGTAGCCGTAGCAAATTACGGTCGAAATAACATTGGTATCTTTTTAGGAACGATCAATGGTACATTTACATCTCAGAAGATTTTTTCAACTGGATCATCTCATCCTATATGGATCGATATCGGTGATTTTAATTCTGATACACACATTGATTTAGCTGTCGTCAACTATGGCACCGATACGATAGGTATTCATTTTGGAGATGGTTATGGTAATTTCGCTCAACCTATTTTGACTTCAACTGGATTTGATTCGATTCCATATGCACTTGTTGTTGCTGATCTGAACAATGATATGAAATCGGATGTTATCGTCGCCAATTATGGAACAAATAATATCGGTATATTTTTTGGAAATAATGATGGTTTATTCGACAACCAATTACTGATCAACACAGGTGTTAACTCTCAACCATTTGCGATTAATATTTATGATTTAAATAATGATACATATTTGGATATCATTGTTACTTGTTCCGGTACAAACCGTATTGGTGTTGTCTTAGGTCTTGGTAATGGATCATTTGCAACAATAGTAGAATACTTTACTGGTGTTAAAGCATATCCCGTTTCTCTAGCCATTGGTGATATTAATAAAGACAATAATGCTGATATAGTTATTGCTAATTATGCTGCTGGTAATATTTGTATTCTATTCGGATATGGCAATGGTCTTTTCACAGAATATTCTGTTCTTTTCTCCGATTCTCAGTATAATCCATATTCAATTGCCCTCAATGATTTCAACAACGATTCATATCTTGATATTGCTACTGTTGATTATAATTATAATTATTTAGATATTGTTCTCACATATAGGAGCTACAGTTTTCTCGGTCAAATTAGTTATTCAACAACTGGTTTGAATTCCTATTCTGAATCCGTCTTCCTAGCCGATTTTGACAATAATAATCAATTAGATATGGTCGTAGCCAATTACTGGACAAATGACATTCTTGTCTTTCTTCGGTATACTAACCAAACATTTGCAGATCAACAAAGATATTCAACTGGACGTTCTTCGGGTCCAACTGATGTTATCAGTGCTGATTTTGATAATGATAATCATTTGGATATAGCTGTTGCCAACTATGGAACGAATACGATGGGTATTTTTCTCAACTATGGTAATGGAACTTTTTCAAGTCAAACAACATATTCAACTGGTAGTAATTCTCAACCGATTGCACTTAGTAGTGGCTTTTTCAACAATGATCCATGGATAGATATCGTTATTCTTAATCATCGAACTGGAAGCATCCGCATTTTTCTTGGAATAGGTAATGGATCATTCATAAATCAAGTCACTTATTCAATCAATAGAAATGCTCAACCATATGATGTCATTATTAGTGATTTTAATAAAGATAATTGCTCAGATATTGCTGTTGCTAATTATGCAACTAGTAGTATAAGTGTTTTTATTGGATATGGCAATGGCACTTTCTCATCACAAAAAACATTTTCAACAGGATCTAATTCCGGACCAATATCTCTTGTCAGCAGTGATATCAACGGTGACAAATTACTTGATATAATTGTTGCTAATTATGGTAGTAATACCATAGGTATCTTCTATGGTTATGGAAATGGAAGTTTTAAATTAAACATGACTATTTTCACTGGTACCGATAGTGAACCATTAGCAATTACTATATCCGATATGAATAACGATACATTACCTGATATCCTCGTTACCAACTATGGTTCCGGTAATGTTGGAATTTTTCTCGGTCAAGCAAATAATAGCTTTTCTACTCAAATGAGTTATTCGACAGGAGATAATTCAAATCCATATTCAATTGCTGTAGGCGATTTAAATAATGATGGATATTTTGATATTGCTGTAGCAAATTATGGTACCAGTTCTGTAGGACTTTTCTTCGGATATGGAAATGGAAGTTTCTCTTCGCAAATAACTTATTCAACTAGAGGTTTTTCTAATCCCAACTGTGTTGCTGTAGGAGATTTTAATAACGATAGTCATTCGGACATTGTTGTTGTTAATTATTGGGCTGGTTGTTTGGATATCTTTCTTGGTAATGGTAATGGAACATTCTATCATTATATGACTTATTCGACTGGTTCTGGTTCGTATCCATATGCTGTGGCCATAGGTGACTTTAATGGTGATCTCAAATTAGATCTTGCAATTGCTAATTCTGGAACGAACATTATTGGTATTTTCTTAGGATATGGTGATGGAACGTTTTCTAGTCAAACAACATACTCAACTGGCGCTGATTCTGAACCATATTCAGTTGCAATTGGCGATTTAGATAATGATAACAGATTAGATATTGCGATTGCAAATTATTACAGTAATACTATTGGAATTTTACAAGGTTTCGGCAATGGATCATTTGCTAATCAAACGACTGTTTTATTTAGAGCATATTCTGGGCCTCGTTCAATTGTNGAAGGTTGAGTAAAACTACCATTTCCATGTCCATAAAGAATTGCCACATTTTCAGTCCCAGAATTAGCAACAGTAATATCGATATAGGTGATGGTACTTTCTCAAATCAAACAACATATCCTCTTGAAGATGGTTCTAACCCATGGTCAGTTGTTGTGTATGATATCGATAAAGATGGCTGTTTAGATATTCTGGTTGCCAACTCTTGGACTGATGATATAGCAATTTTTCTTGGATATGGCAATGGTACATTTATGGAGCAAATAACGTATTATATTGGTGACGATACTGGGCCGGAAGGAATTGCTATAGCTGATTTTGATAATGATGGTCGATGGGATATCGTTAGTAACCTTCAATTCTCGAATCAAATAGTTGTTGCTTATGGGTATGAAAATGGGACATTTTCAAATAAAGTTTTCTATTCAACCGGTACTTATTCGTATCCAGGTGCAGTAGCAGTTGGTGATCTCAATCGTGATAACTATGTAGATATAGTCGTTGCCAATTATGGAACTGATGATATTCGTATTCTTTATGGACAAAGCAATGGTAACTTTTCCAATACGAATTCTCTTTCATGTGGTTACAACGCAAATCCAGAATTAATTCTCATTTTTGATTTAAATCAAGATGAAAATCTGGATATTGTTGTCACTAATTCAGGTACAGATAGCATTGGTGTCTTTTTCGGAAGAAGCGATGGTATGACTTTCGAACAAAAGTTCTTTAGTACTGGTGTCGGCTCCGCACCAAAAGGATTTGTGATAAATGACATCAATAATGACAAACAATTGGATCTCATCATCGCTAATTATGGTACAAATAACATGGGTGTTCTACTTGGATGTGTTAACGGATCTTTTTTTAGTCCATTAACTTACTCAACCGGCGATTATTCTCAACCGTGGCAAGTAGCACTCGGTGATTTTAATAATGATAGTCGTCTAGACGCTGTTGTCGCCAGCTTTGGTACGAATGTTGCAGATGTATTTCTTGGATTTGTTAATCACGATTATTTGTCGGCACCACCTTTTTCGACGGGAATATCTTCTCAACCAACGTCGACTCTCGTCGTAGATTTAAACAATGATACTCAATTGGATGTTATCGTTGCTAATAATGGTACCAACAATATTATGATAATTTTTGGAACCGGTTATGGTACTTTTATGAATTCATCGATTTATTCCACTGGTAATGGTTCTCATCCATGTTCAGTTGCAATTGGTCATTTCAATGATGATAATCGATGGGATTTGGTCGTCGCTAATTCAGGTACAGATACTATTGGAATATTTTTAACTGACGAAACTGGATCGTTTTCAAAACAAATTACTTATTCTACTGGTTTACGTTCTCGTCCATATTCTGTGACTGTACTTGACTTTAATCATGATACGCATTTGGATATTGCTGTTGCCACTTATGGTGCCAATAGCATTGGCGTTTTTTATGGTAATGGAAATGGTACTTTTACGGAACAACAAATCTTTCCAACTGGTTTCAATTCACATCCATATGCACTTGCGATCGGTGATATAAATCAAGATAATCTAACTGATATTGTTGCTACGAATAATGGCTTTGGAAATTTAGACGTTCTTATGAAAACTTGTTAAGAAACTAATTTTCTGAGGGCTGCCCAATATCAATACATAGTAACGATCTCCCTCGTGTATTACTATGTATAATAATTGTACAAACAGATTCACTCACTTTAGCTCTGAAAAAGAAGAGAATCGTTTACTTTTACTTTCATATCAATTTATGTGAGTTATCAATAAAGCAGCATTTGTTTTGTATTTCATCTCACATCTGCCATACTCACTCTCGTAATTTCAAACAATATTTATGTAATAAAATGATGTTTACTTGTAAATAAAAACCAACTGGAAGAGAAAGTTTGAGTCAACAGACATAGGACAGATACGCGAACTGTTTCGTAAAACATCTGCAAAAACAAACTTGTTAACGATGACAGTTAGTGCATAGTTATCGCTAACTATTTCTTTCGTGTTCGTGCCGCCTCTCTGACCTCGTTTAACCTTGTAAGATCAGACAGTCAGTTATCTTTGAGTTGTGGTCGACACTAGTCTCACAAAGATCTCGAATCAACTCGCTCATTCCCTCAACACCGAAGTGAGACAACCTCATATTTTGAATGAATCAATAAAGATCCTTGCTTTCTATCATCTTTCGTTCTGCCTATTAACGGCTAGTGGGCGGGAGTCTTTGGTAGGAAAAATGCCTTTTTTCCAAACTTAAAGAAACGGATGAAAACATCTTGACTCATCGACATGTGATTTTCAGACGAAATCAGTCGATGTTTTTATCTCTCGTCTTGCTTGATTCTTGTTTTCCCCTATTCTCAGCCAAATTCTTTTCTGAAGAACAAAGAAAAATAGAATTGTGTCCGATATAGTTAAGAAAAACAAAAATCTAGCAAGACAAGAGGCAAGATCATCGATTTGTGGATTTCCATATCAGGGAAAAAGATAAAATTTACTTATTTTAGTTTAACATTACGGAAAATATAATTCACAACTATTAAATATGTCTTCTAAGTTTCTTCCACCACAAATGAACACCGCTCCTGTCTGTGGAAGTAACGTAGCAGTATGCCAATAGCGACCTATGAACATGTGTGCTGCTGATGTAAATGTATTACTTAATGGGTTATATATTTCACAGGAAGTCAAACCATAGTTTTTTGATCCACCTGCAATTAGAACTCGACCATCAACTAGAAGCGTGGCTGTATGATCTGCGCGGTCCTCTAGTGTTGTTCCATTACTAATAAAGGTAAGCGTTGGTACATCAAACAGGTCGAATGTGCCACCACTAACAAAAAGAATTGCTTCAATGGAAGGAATATAAGTGGCTGTATGGAATGCGCGTTTGACTGATAACCGTGGTAAAAGAGGAATGAAACGATTTAATCTGCTGTTATATAGTATTAAAGTATCTAAACAGTCACCATCATTTCTGCATCCACCAGCAATAATAACATGTTCGCTAGGTAAAACTGTTGCTGTATGATACACTCGAGGTTCCGTCATTAAATTATTCACTGGCTGAAATGTTCCATTTTTCACATAAAAAACATCACCCGAAGCCAAATGATCCCCATCATAGCCACCAGCAAGTAACACTTTTGTTGAATTATTGCTTCGAATCATTGATGATGTGTGACGCATACGACATGCACTCATGTTTACCGTTCTTTTCACTTGACCAGATCGAGGATCGTATAGATCAGCTACACAGCCATCCCGAATAGGATAACCTATGTTGATACCTACAGAACATCCAGCAATAAGAAGTAATCCATTGGGAAGAAGATTAGCCGTATGATCACATCTCGTGGTTGTCATATCGCCTTGATGTATGATTGAACCGTTCGATGCGAAGAAAGCATCGATTGAACTAGAACAGCCACCAGTAATGAGAACCATATCTCTCCCATTAATAAAAGTGCTTGTATGGAGCATTCTTGCATTTGTCATATTACGAGCATGTTTCCAATAATCATTCGTAGAGAACACTTCAGAATTAAGAAAAAATGCAAACAGCAGTTCAATAAGAGAAGCTCGAAGCATTTGTTATATTCTTGTGATTCTTTGGTAAGAATGAAAATAAAACGACTCTATATTTATACCACGGTCTTGGCTATTATGCAAGATAAGATTACGCTATAACTTTGACCCATATACAACAAAAGAGTAATTCTTTTTCTAGGTTAAACTTTTTTCAAATTATGGTCGCTGATATCCAAGAAGTTTACATATCGGATCGTTTTCTAAGATACAAAGGATTCATTTTAACTAGGTTATAATTCAAAAAATTTTCACTTTTTATTGTAAGAAAACAAAAACGACCCGAATCATTCGATTTTGTTTCAACATCATAAATAAACCTTTTGATTAATAAGCTTTATTTCATAAACCATGAAGACATTTTTCACTTGATCAAAGAAATTACTATGTTGCTTTCAAAAAAACATAATGATAATTTACAATGAATTCAAAATCAATTTTATGAAAAAAACTAGTTGTTAAATATTCCAATTATGAGAAAAGAAATGCATTTTAGTGTTTCAATCAACAATGGAAGTCAATTTTTCGTAAGCAAAGTGCATGTTAGCTTTTAAGCAACGAAAAAAAGCTTTCAAGCGATCGATCACTTCGGGTACAGTATGAAAATAAGAAAAAATAACTGTTTTGGTGTACTCAAACTTTCTACATAGGATCGTCTTATTCATATCTCAGTTGAATTCGAAGATGAGCCCGATCGGTTGTACTAATTATGTAATGGTAGTTAGCAGCGGATTCGAGTATTTCCTGCTGACATTCCCGCTTAGGGAATTGTGATGAGCATGAAACTTCTGGGATTGATAGGTCTTGTCATTCTGGATCGAATGGTATCACTTGAGTGGGATCAATACACCATATCTTGGTAATTTTCACGTAGGATGTTCTACTTCGCATTCGCTTGTGAAAGCTTTCAACATACACTTTCTAGATGTAACCCAACGAGCTCTACAACTTGATGTAACGACACTTTTGTGTCAGGCAATACCATCCCATCGAAAAATGCCGAAAACTGTCTTGAAGGTGTAAGTGTAGGTGAGGAAGAAACGCATTCAGTCACCCTCAAGATTACAGTGAAACCTCCGTAAGACGACCATAAAAACGAGAAAGGTGAAACGTTCTTTTGAACATTTATCACCTTTACAAGTTTCTTTTATTGTGACAAGTGATCGATTTGGTAAAACTTTAAAAAATAAATCACTTTCACCTGCATTGTAAACATCACTTGGATCATATTTATGAATATCTGATGAAATTCGACTAAGCCAGTCGTCAACAATTGAAGCATCTACTATTGTAGATTCGCCGTATATTGATTTATATGTTATTCCATGGCTTTTTCTAAACTTTTCGAGTCAACCATTACTAGCTGTAAAGTCATCATCATTTGTTGGATCCAGTTATTGACGAATTTGCCGAGCTTGTTCTTGTGTAAGCGGGCCTGCAGTTGGAATATTCTTACTACGTTGAGTTGCGAACCATTCAGAAACTTTTTGATCAAGCTGTTGATTGAATTCATCTGAAAAAGTGCGTTTTTTGTTTGTAACTTTCTAAATATTTCGCCTTGTGTTTAATAATATTTGGCACGCTGCTAATCGAGATGTGGTAATTTTCAGCAAGTGTATGATAATTAACATTCTGTTTATTTACATGAATTAATTTGACTTTATCAGATAAATTTAACGTACGTTTTGTTGCCATTTTACAGTCGAATATGGAATTGTGTTACTTTCTCACATATACTGGATTAAATCGCCATGGACTATTTATTTTGATTGTTCTTTTTGTTTCATACATGCGACAAAGCTTTTTATTGTGAATTAACGATCAAAAGTTAATTTATTATCACTTAACTATATCGACTATTTATTCCATCTCGTTATTTTATACACGATTATATAGAGGTTTTCTTTCACAGAAGGGACCATAAAAAGCATTCATTGTTCAGAAGTCGGAGGTCTATTTATAGTCGAAATCGATCGGGGGACTGAAAAATGTGTTCATTAGTAAAAGTTTCACTGTAACTATAAGAACTTTCACGTAATTGTAAGATCAAGGAAACAAATACTCTTTTAATATTTATCATTGATTCAAAGATTTCCACATCCTCAAGAAGTGCTAGGTATGTCAAAGACATTATCCATCTGTCACATCCTTCTATTTGAAAAGGATCTCTGTAGAGATGTCCTCTTTTTATAATTGAATGAACTACTTTTGCAAAATATTCCAGAGTATCTTGTCATCAACTGCTGAATTTCATCTATTGGCCATTTTATTTTGATAAGAATATCAAATGTTGTCTTTAGCATTAAAATGAATAAAAAGAAATAAAACTAAGTTTTTTCTTCGTCATGTATTATCCTTTTAAGCCTTAAGATACTCATCTTAAGTAATACAAAAATGTAAGCCGTGACTATTCGATATAAAATTCAACATAAAATATGAGTAGAGAAAAAAACAAGATTTGTTTTGATCAATCTTTAACAACTTTCTTCAATTCAATGTCATTGTGTAAAGCTCTTTATCATTGTGTATCTTTTCTTCATTAGTCATTCTTTACTCTTGATATCATAAGATTTTATCCTGGGATACGCAAGAGAAGAAAAAAAAACATTTTCTAAAATGAATGCACAGCTTCTTTTGATATTAAATTTGTGTTCAATAACATTAGGTTGGTATTCATGTCCTTTCAATGATGGAACATTTCTTAAACCTTTATCAGAAAACTTGACAATAAAAGCTGAATGTATGTATTTAACAAGTCCACTCGAATGGAATCAATTTAATCCAAATACATTCGATGGTGAATATTATAATTCAACAAGACAAATTCCATTAACAGATTTACATATGAAACGTTTACTTTTATCTTCTTTCTCATCCATACAGAACAATTCATCCAGAAAACATATTATTAACTATTGGCTTATTAATGGCGGTGGTGGTTCACAATATGGTATGGAAACATTTGGAATATCAATGTTAGAAGAAATTGTTTTAAATAATTATGATAAAATCTATTCAAATACTCATCCAATTATGTATTTATTTCAATATCGAGGAGCAGGATTAAGTAAACCATCAATTCATTGTTATCGAGCAACAACTTGGACCGATTGTGCTCAAGAGTTAATTGAAACAACAATTCCATCTTCTCGTAACGAATCATTCATGATTATACATGCAATGACAAATGCAAATATTGCACAAGATTTACAATATCAAATTCAATACTCAATAAATCAATCTGAATCAATATGTCGAACGTCAACTTATATCTACGGATTAAGTCAAGGTAAATCAAATTACTAAAATAAAACATTAGTGTATTTAATGAATAAATTTAGGAAGTGGCATTATTGAAACTTATCTAACGATTCAATCAATCAATTCTCATATGCAAATAATTGATGGAATTATTCTTGATGGAGTTATGTCAATAAAACATTCTGATGTATTTCGAAATCAATTAAAAAACTTAAATCACCGATTTTATTTATATTTATCAAAATGCCAACAAGATTCTTTATGTTCAAAAGCATTTCATCAAGTTACTGGAACTAATCAAGATATAATTGGTGTAACATTAACATTAGAAATGCTTTTTGAAACAAATATGACAAATGTTCAATGTACGACTCAATTAGGTTTGAATGATTGGAATTTATTTATGCTTATTGCAAATCAAGCTATTGAAGTTATCAACTATCGTCCATTAGCAGCAATTTTAATTGCACGTATTTATCGTTGTTCAAATGAAGATCAACAAATCTTATCTCGTTCGTTACCATTCATGGTTAATATAGCTCAACAATCAATATCGAAACGTTTTATTGATCCACCTTATTTATATCCAAATGATGGAAATGTTTTAAGTTTAACTATTTGGAGTGATTTTATTGGTTTTAATTTAAATGAAAATATAAAAGAAAATTTCACATTTTTTAATGATTTTTGTATAAATAGTCGTGTTCTTAATGAATTCAATCTAGCACGAACAGGTCCAATACAATTTTGTGATGAAACTCAAATATTCAAATACAATTATACATTATCATCTCCTTTAAGAGATGTTCTATATACCAGAAACTCAAATTATTGGGGAAAATTTAAAGTTAATCAAGAAATATTTCGATCTAAACGAAGTGGAGTATTATTATTTAATGGTGATTTAGATTATAATTCACCTATGTCAGCCGCACAGCAAGTCCAACGATTATTTCAATCGGAATCTATTCGAACGAAATTAATTGAAATGAAAGGTTTAACACATGTTACAGCTATTCAATCTTATACAAAGAAAGGTGGTTTTCAATCATCAACATGTACTCACCAAATTATTCGTGAATTTTTATATCAAGAAGAACTAAATTTAGATTTAGACACTATTAATTATACATGTAGTTCACAAGATAATTTAATTGGAATTGATTGGTTTTATTCTGATCCAATGGTTAATCAAACATTATACACTGTATTTGCTAATTCAATAACAAATTATTGGGGAGTAAATATAACTGATATTGATATGGAATTAATAACAAATAAATCCAAGAAATTGAACATGAATCTTTTTCTTATTGATTTTTATATTGTACTGTCATTTCTTATATTCTGTAGAGGCCTGTAAGAGAAGCTATAAAAAAAGGCAGCCTGTTTGTTTATGGAATGGCAAAGGTTAATATTATCTTTATTTCTGAAAAAGTACGTTGAGGGTGAATCTTTTCTTTAGTTTCGTAACATATCATGAAGTAAATCTTCGTTTCTATTTGAATAAGACGAACACTATTCACAGTTTCCCTTTTATAAATTCGATACTGTTTTCACAAGCCTTAATGTTATGATGATTGGCTGTCAATGAGCAGCATGAAATCTTAAGAGCGCATTCCAGAAATGTGAATGCGCTTGAATAAGCACCCATCTTTCCATACATTTCTCTAATGTTATTGTAACAAGTAGCCAGATTGAGGTGATTTGAAGGAAGACGCTTTTGGCAGACATCAATACCCTTTTCGAAATATGAAAGCGCTTTGGAGTACTCACTAGTACTGGCATATACCGAGTCAATATTGTTGTAAGTAGTCGCTCAATGGGGATGATTTTCAGGAAGTATTTTTTGTTTAATTTGAAGAGCTTTTTGATAGAAACCAAGTGCGTTTGAATATCGACGCATTTTCTAACATACTTGTCCAATGTTACTGTACACATTAGCAAACCATGGATCAGTCACCGGAAGAGTCGTCTCGGCAGTTTCAAGTGCTTTGTCATAGAAAAAGATCGCCTGACCATAATCGTCTTGAGCATTTTTGATCACACCGAGCTCACAGTTAGTGGCGGCGCCAAGAATGGGCTCAGCCCACCCTATGATTTTTTTGGATCTTGAAAACAACTAATTGTGACAACATTTGTGTATTCATCAATTAATCTTTCAAACACAGATAGATGACTCATGTATATATTATCATCTTCTCCTTTCTGTTCATTATAGCTATGCATCTCGTCTCATAGCGAGTTCATCTTCATCAGTTCATCTAATGATTCTTTTCTCTTCTTCGTGTTTCTCTCTGTCCGTCTCTTTCTCTCCCTGTTCTCTCTTGACCGATGCGCTCAAAAGAAAAGAGAACAGAGGGAACGAATATAAAAGGAAATGTTTGGTTGAAATAAAGCTAGTCGAATCACCTTGAATAAAGTTTGTCTTTACACTAATGATACCGTATGTGAAAGATGTCGCAATATAGTACGGCTAGTTTATCAATACGATCTTCTCTTATTTTTTTATTGATTGATTATTAAAAACCACACGAAAAAAACTTATTAAAGTGAATTATAGTCTTCGAAAATGCAGCCGGAAAAACGTAGAACAAGTGAGTCTATTTTTCGTTCATTCAAAAAAGACACGTATAAATGAAGACGAAATCGAACTGACTACCATCAATATCATCATACGAATCTCAAGATCTTCTTTCTTCTTCACCTTTCGACAATCAAAAGAGTGCATCAGATGTTAATTCTGTCGCTTCATCGTCGACTCTTATTATCTGTAGTCCTTCAAACAATACTTTTCAAGTAAAATCTACTTGTGATCCTGACGATATTAGTAAATCATGTAATGATATTCCTACTCAGTCAAAATTGACCAGTTATCCAATCAATACTGATAAACATTCGTTTCAATCAAGTTGGTACAAAGAAAGGCCTTGGTTGGAATATTCTGTAAAAAACAATATGGTTTATTGTTATTATTGCCGTCATTTTTCTTGTAATCGATCGAATAATCACAATGCTTTTACCACAACTGGATTCAATAATTGGAAGCGAGCTTTGGAAGCTACTGGTGGTCTACTGAAATATTCTCAATCGAAATTACACGTAACCTCTACCAAAAACTACGAATCATATGTTTCGCAACGACAAAGTAACTCCAATGTTATGAATAAATTAGATCCTGGTCGAGTCATTCATATTCGTAAAAATCGTGATCGTCTTATAAAAATATGTTCCACAATACATTTTTTTAGCATGTCAAATGATTATTTTTAGAGATCACAGAGAAAATTCTCAGTATGTTTTCTAAAAACCCGTTTTGACAAATATTTTTTATTCGTTTTCTGCTTCTTACAGAAGTTCCAACCAAGGTAATTTCCTGGAGATTCTTTATTGGTCAGCAACTAGTGATCTTGTAGTTAAATCGATTGTAGAAGGTTCTGCAGGTAATGCCAGTTACTTGATTCATGATATACAAAATGAATTAATTAATATTATGGCCAATCAAGTACGTGGAAAATTTTCATCTATGGTGAGCACACATTGTCTTATTGTTAAGAATAAATTACTTTGATATTTTTAGTTACACAATCATAAGCGGATTGACGGAAAAAGTCGAAAAAATAATGTCGAAAAGGAAAACGTCGAAAAAAAAGTAGGAAAATATCGAAAGGAACTTTGGACGAAAACTGTCGCGATAAGTAGGAAAATGTCGAAAGGAAAATGCCGAAAAGCAAAATGTCGAAAACAAAATAAGTAGTAGAATTAGGGTCTGAGATGAAGGTGAAAGTGACGATGTGAGGATTAGGGCGAGGGTAAGGTTAAGAGTAAGTGTGTGAGGATTAGGGCGAGGTGGAGAGTAGGGTGAGAGACAATGCAAAAGAGTTACTAAAGTGGTATCCTTTGCTGATTGATGGACGTAAAGCCCGATGTACGACTTGTAATATAGCGATTTTTCTCGGTTGTATTTATTATCTTTTTAGAATAAAATTGATTCATCTTGTCTTGGTACCAGAAAACAACAAGTTCATTTTCGACATTTTCCTACTTTTTTTTCGATGTTTTCCTATTCGGCATTTTCCTTTTTGACATTTAACACCAAACCCATCATAAGTACACATTAATGGCTGATGAATCTCGAGACAAGTGGCACTGAACGATCATCTATTGTGATTCGATTTCTTTTTGATGAAGATATTGATATGAGTGACTATTCAAATATGGTGAAGGATTACGTCCTTGGTTTTCTTCCATTAAAAGAATTTGACGCATCCGCACTAGCAATTAAGATCATTAAGTTTTTAAATGAACTTAAAATTCCCTTACAATCATGTATTTTTTTTTTGTTTCGACGGGCCAGTTATTTTCTTTTGCGTTGAAAAAACTGGGAGACAATGTGAAAGTTGTTTTCGTTCCTTTTATTTGCAGTGCCAGTATCATGTCTGGTCGACATGGTGGACTTCATGTTCTATTAAAAGAACATATGCCAAATGGAATATATATTCATTGTTCAGCTCATCGATTGAACCTACAGTGTAGGACAAAAGTTTAAGCGAATATCTTTTTCATTTTTTTTAATACAGCGAAGTACTCCTGTCAGATCCATAAAATAGTTTTAGGACCTAGTGATGTCTACTACGTGATCCTATATAAATCAAGGTTCCATAGACGATGTAAAGTAGAAACACTGTTACAGAGCCGAATGCAGTGGTTTTCATGTACTAAAAGACTTTCTCGGCTATATTTTCTCGCACTGCAATCTTGAAGAGCATAAAATTCTGAGCAGAATAAGAGGTCGCCGCATTTTCTACCACATTTTCTTGAAAAGTTATTAGCGCCACAAAATGCGCAAAATTGAAATTTTTTTCAAAAGATGTTACATCCCGCCATCTGATGGCACGTCCACAGATCTTTTCTGGCCGTGATCATCTCTTTCTTTCCTTTGTGTGTTGTTTCTATATAACCTGGTGAAATAAAAGTAAAGTCAGTTATATTCTAACTACTTATCGAACACACGCCTCTTCACTCTCGAGCATCGAACATAACAATTCTTATAGTAAAAAGCCATCTGATGGGAATTTTAACAAGTTTGAAACTAGTCATGGCAGCTATTACTCACCCGCACCCTCACCCTAAAGATTTCAATCTCAATTTTGACAATTTTTTGAAATCTCAATAAGGATGCGACAACCAAGACATAGTTTTCGATTCAATTCCTATGATGCTTTGATTTCCATCGTCAACTGCTAATCCAGATAAACTTTTCAGCATAATCGATTCGGTCGCATGCAGATCTTTGATAATCATTGATATTGGAGATACAGCTTACGTATGATATAGACTCGAGACGCACAGGGTAGATGCATTTTAGCAACATAATGAAGCGTATGTGTATCTACAGAGTGTAGCTTTGACGACATCAATTTAATCTCTTCGTATTCATCAAAATAAAATAATTTTCATCGAAAAACTAGCTTTGATGATTATTAGCAACATCCATTTGATGTTGTTAGTGTGGCTCTCCTCGAGAGAGTGACTTTTATTCTCCCCAAGAAAACACACACACCAGAGTTATATAGCGAGAAAACGAGAGCGATAGAGAGAGAGACACGAGAACAAGGGAGGAGGCGCTAACAGATGTGAATATTGTGCCTGTTTCTAATCCCATTCCGGTTATATAGTTTCAAGAGTATGACTTCGATTAAAAGCGGTATTCAATTTATCTAATGTAGCGATGACTATTGCGTCTCGCATAAATTATTTTTACATTTGAAATAAAAAGTTGCAGAGTACATCAAATAGAGTTACCGGACTCATTTCATTAATCTGGCATTTTCTTCGCACAGAAACATGAATACAAGTAATGCCACTGCAATCACATATGCAGCTAAGTCAGTCTCAACTTACATGGCTTTCTACGGTTACTATTGCTTGTCAACGGTCATATTGGGTACAACACTCAATCTTTTAACACTCTTTGTCTTGTGTCGATCAACATTCCGAAACACTCAAGGCCGATCCACGATCCACTATATGCGTACAATAGCAGTGATGGATTTTCTTGGAGTATACGGATGGAATATCGATAGTTATCTAAGTGCCATTCATGGATTTTCATTAACTTATTCATACTCAGTGGCATCATGTAAGTTTTCCTTCTTTTTTAATTTTTGGACACTTCAAACTTCAGCATGGTTGCATGTTCTCGTTTCTTTTGATCGATATTTATTTATGAGTCGAATACAGCCAAACACATGGTTCCATCGATGGAAAATTGTCGCGATTATTATTACTTGCATCATAACAATCTTTTTTCTTTCGAATTTTCCTGTTTTAATATTGATTTGTTACAGAAGTGCCGGTGGATATATCGTTATCGACTCTCCACTGCGCCCCATGATTTCCACATTTCAGACCGTACATTTGTGGATTTATGATTTTATTCCATCAGGATTGATTTTATCATTCAATTTTCTCTCAATTCATCATTTACATAAACTACGACGAACAACAACCATAACAAATTCAAAGGTTCGTCATCGACCAATTACAATCACTCTTATCATTTCTGGTTTTACATTCGTGATGACACGAACACCAGCTTCGTTTAACTATGGCTTTCTCTATCCGACTCTTTCCGCAATTTATTGGGGTCGGTATGTTCTTGGTGCATCTAATTTACTTCTATACACATGTCCTGTTCTGAGTTTTCCTATTTATTTTATGACATTCAGTGAATTTCGTCATCAACTGATTAACCTCGTCACAAGAAGACCAGTCACGACAAGAATTGCTGGAGATGCACCAGTTCAAGTTGTGCAAGTCAGAGGACAAAACAAGTAGAACGAACATAATTTACAATGAAAAGATATGAATTTATTTTTCTAAATCAAGTGAATTATTTTCTGTCTAATAAACTGAAATCTAAAAACTAAAATTCAATTCGAAAATATGTACGATTTCTTCCAATGTCCTCTTGTTTACTTATTTTAAGTCGCAAACTCAACTCACTTAACCTGGCTTTCTCCAAGTTATAACATATGAAATCTATTTCACATTCGAGCACAGCACACATGCCTCGAGTTTCTTTGACCGCAGCAACAGTTGATAATTACTCCAGCTTTTCGTGCGTTCAAGTATCCGGTGCACCTTTACTGACGCTTTCATATAGCCATAATTTCTATGCTGGATACTTTGCGTTGGTTTTGCAAATGGAGAACCGTCGATCTCCATTTGTGATCTCTCCTCGTAATCCTTCATATGGAAAGGAGAGAATCAAGACGAATGCGTCTGTGTGTCCGAGGTGAAGACAGAAACGTGAGAAATTCGCATAATAATCAAACCCTTGCCCTGCAGAAATGTGTCAATAAGTCGCAGAAGAACACATATCTATGTTATCAGCCCTTCAAAGGTTTAGCGTTCAAACCGTTCACGAAATTGAGGGTTTATCAAAGCTAAACTGATATACAATAATAAGATTGGAGTTTGTTGTTCTGTCACATCAAGATGAGAGTACGTTGCTCAGCCGGAACTGATAGATTATCATAAGCATCTCAAAGAAGGGTATCTTATTATTCTGTTCTGCATTTGTCATGCTACCTTCTATTGAGGGTGTAAGTTATAGAGAGACATAGCTACGACTATAGTTTCGACCTTTGTCAAGGGTCGTTCATAAGGTAGCTTTGTAAGCTTTTATACGGACACGAGTATGTTGTTTTATGAGTAGTTAGAATTTTAAGAATTATTTGGATGACTACGGGTAATTCATTGGTTGAGGTAGGTCACAAATGTTTCAGAGGTTTCGCTTGTTGGAAATGACTAGGACTGTACGACTGGTATTTAGTATGTAGAAAAGGAGGATGCTCTACTTTTTATTGCGATGAGAGGGACGCTAAAGACGAATGAGCCTTTTTGATGAAGTTAATCAAACTTGTATTGCAAAGAAGCTGAAAAGAGAGAAAAGTAAAGATCGTCTTTAAAAGTTCACTGAGGTGTTGGAATGAGTTGTGAATGTTGTCTTGTTGGGTATTGATCTTTTTTAGTATTCATCAGGTGTGAAGTTCGTTGCGGTTTGATGTCAAACTCAGTCGTAGTAATATGGCGGCTAAAGTTAACGGAAAGGAAACAGGCAATATCCTATCAACATGCACATGTGCTTGACGTGCTAGTATTTACGGCAACAAGATATCTATTGGTAGCTGTGTGTTGCTGGATTGGAGTTTTGTCGATGTCGAATGCTTGATGAATAGTTTTAGCCACTTGGTCTGTTGACTGACGGATCAGCGGCGATAGATAAATTGTATCGTGTTCTTCTGGTTTTCGCAATCCTAAGATTTTAATTGTTCGTGAACTTGAAAGGATGATTGTTGTCGATAATATAATCAAAGTCACGAGTAGAGTTATAATAAGAATAAAAATTAGAATTACAGGCAGTGAATTAAAGCTGAGTGAATTGGTAGCTGCCAGTTGATCTATTGAATTGAAATAGATAGAAAAGACATCGAATGATATCTCATCATAATTTCCTCTGGAGCTCCGAACTGTCAGTCAGGCTTGCAACTAGACTATTGAATCCAGTACGTACTAGGTATTTGTGACGCCGTGGTTATTATTGATATCATGTCAGGACTCGAAGGTGTGGGTGAGTACAGCTACCATGACTAGTTTCATCTTCTGCTCAAGAAGACTCATCAGATGGCTTTTGATTTCACTAGATTTAATCCAAAATAAACATTTTCAAAAATGTTTTCGAAAAAGTAAGCTTGTTCATCGACAGTTTGTGTCATCGTAGTGTATTCTGGTTTCTATGCTGAATATATGTGCTCCTATGATTGAAATTTATCGAAGGAAACTTCTTTTCATTTTCGATTTCTTGTTCTAGATAGAAAATGGTTTCTGTGGAAATTGTACTCTAGTGGTCTTGTGCCTTTGTGTAATATTACTTATTGGTTCTAATGGGTAATAGATTTCTTTCAATGATATATGAAATAGACTTTTGACTGTGATGTTTGTATACGTGCAAAGTCGTGGGTCTACCTATCTGAACTGTGCTTGTTGTTGGATACGGAATATTTTTAGAGTTACCTTAGATTTGTGGATTTCGTGGTTGTTGGTGAGGTTGAAATGACATCATATGATGTAGATGCTTGTAATTAATTTCTCCGGAGTTGTGAATTGTTGGTTATAGATTTGATTTCCAATTATCGTTGGTTTTGGGTGGAAGTAAAGACTGATGTTTCTGTTGTTTGGAGGGTTTGCAGATGAAAATCAGTTTCGAAGAATTGGGGATGCTTGATTGATTCGTAATTAACGTGAAATTTCTTTAGATTGTATTTTTGTATAATTTAACATAATTGATTCATATCGGAATTTGCTGTTTGATGCCTGTAGATAATTTGAAATAGTGTTTATTGTGTAGTTTACAAGAAGAAATATAGAACTTACTTTTGGAGCAGATGAAAAATGAATATTGTAGTGAAAATGGTGCTTGTTTATACAGTCGTTGAGAGAAAATGAACTTTGGCCTTTTCTGGGAAGAAATGTAGGTGGGAAAGCATTCTTCCCACTGATTTACGTGAGAGAATGCTTGAAAATTGGTATTTTAGACCGACGTATATATGAAGTATTCATTTTATCACATTCGACAGATGCATGAGAATGAGAAAAGAATTTTTAAAGGGGTGCTTCGAAACTGTGTCCTTGCAACGTGACGATATTCAATCAGAGATGAAGCTGTTCGCTTAAGGAAGGAATACCAAGGCCGACCAAAGTGCAGTAGAAATAGCTATTATATAAGCAATGTAAAAAAATCATTCTTTATTCTTTCTCATAGTTGACTAAATGCCAGTTGTTGAGTTAATTCCGTTTTTCGTTTTTCTCCTATATGGCCATGTGAGCATCGAATATAGTGATGATAAATTGGTAAGTGTAATCTTAAATCTTGAATTAATTTTGCGAAGTCATTCCTTGACTGTATTTTTCGTTTTCTTAAGTTCAAATTGATAAAGGTACATAGAATTTAATTTGTATATCAGGTTACATGCAGGAAGACGATAAAATATCCAGTTTTAGAGTTAAGGAAATACTTTAAATCTTTTTTAATTTTGGTATATGAACAAAAGTAATGATTGTTGTTGCGAATTTTTGATGAAGAATATGTAAGCTAGACATTCACCTTTTAGCGCCTATTAGAAATGGTTATTAATGCAAAATCAATCATTTTGTCAAGAAATGCTAATAAGTACCACTAAGACGTTCAATGACATGGGATACTATCTTTTGTCATTCTAATGCTAATTTTACAAGTAATCTGTAATAAATAGTTGTAAATAAGGATATGTAATGTTTTCAAAGTATACAATTCAGCATAAAACAATTTTACATGTCATCTATTTGGTTCAATAACGGAAGTTTTGAATTTATGTGTCAATGTAATAATAATTAAGGATAATTTCATCATTACAAGTGAATATTCATCTTTTTATTCATATTTTAGATCAAATTTCATTTTGAAACATGTAGTTGCTCTGATTTCAAATATTTTTTCAATTTTTTAGACTTTCTACAACAATAATTTGAATCTGATATGTGTATAACAAATCAAATACTTTCACAAAACAACAAAGCAAGTATATTGATAAAAAGAATTAATAATTCTTGAACTTAAAAAGGCATTTATTACTTTAAAATGAAATAATCAGATGTCTTCTATTAGAACAAGACCATATGAAGCAAATAAACTGTATTAATGAAGAGGATCAGTTTGTGTTGATACATCATTTGTTTTAGATGCATTATTTGGCTGAGCATTCGTTGTTGACATATTCGAGTTATTGTTATCTTGCTCTTCTTCTTCGTCGTCGTCGTCATCTTCACTATCAAGATCGTTGTCTACTTTTTCAAGAAAGCAAAGACGGCTTTCGACATCTTCAGGTATCTCCCATACTTTGTCTTGATCATTCCCGTCAAGCACTTTAATCAATTTATCCATTAAGTTATGTTGAATTAGCAGTTGAACATCCCTTAAACGAGGAAACATGTCATGTTTGATTAAAACACATCGTTGATAACGTATTTGAGCAAGATTAGCTCGAATTTCAGCTGGTGTTATCATAGATATTGTTGATGATAATTCCAGAGTATCTGCTTGATCAATAGATGAAGTCATGGTAGAAGTTATTGAATTTGATGATAAAATCTAGAATATATTATAGAATATCATTCTATTAAAACAAACTGAAACAAAAATGAAGAAAAGTAATTTATTTTTAATTCAAAACTAAATTTTATAAAGATAAATGTATAATTAATCAAATAATCTGAGTCCTGTTGTTTCAGATACAGTCTGTGTTGTAGAATCACGTTGTAAAAGTGTATTTGGTTTGAACTTTTTTGTAGGTGACCCATCTTCGTCTTCGTCATCCTCATCGAAAGAATGAAAACGAATTTCATCGAGTCGATAATTGCGTCCTTTTTGATATTCATGTTCTCCAAGAGCTACAACCATTTCATCGATCAAACCAGATCGAAGTAAACGGTGAAAAATAGTATCATTTGGAAGACAATGATGTTTCTCCGATATCCATTTCTGACATTGTTCTTTTGTTGCGCCTAATGGAATACGACTATTGACAATTTCTGATGCTGATGATGACGAATGAGATACTGAAGCCATTTCATACAATCTGAAAAATAAGACGATTCATAATATAGATTCGAGCAAGAAGATGTGTAGCACTTACCTTATAGAATAATGGAACAAAATGAATGTATCAGTGCGAATGCCGTCGGTTTATATAGTTCTGTGGAGAAGATGGACTTTGATCTTAGACTGTGAATGAATCTTTGTCGATTGCGTTTTTCTAATGGTTTATGTGCGAGAATGTTATGAGAATGTAGTTCTAGGTATGTCCTTGCAGTACAAAATTAGATAAAACCACTCTTTCTAAAGGAAAAGAATGTGAGCCCTAGAAATACGATTATCTTTCATCAGAAAATATGTAACACTTCACAGTGATAATCTTTTTGAAAAGAGACTGATAATACATCTCTATTTCATTTCAATTCAAGTATTCAAAGACAAGAGCAACTTCGGTACCAGCCACTGTTATGCATTTGCACTAACTTTCACATTTTCATCAGATAGCTTGCATTTCAATATAATTTAACTTTAAATTTAGTTATCAAGTTAGTTTAATCTGTACAAAATATGAACTTGATGAAAATAATGGATTTGTCTCAAGAATGAATAGCAATGGAGAATAACAGTTGTTTTATAAGTATTATCAAATATATACACATGTTTAAACTTATGAAGGCGATAAACTTTGGTCACGTACAAGTTAAATCATATATTGTATAGTTTTGTAGAAAGAAAAGAAATGTATTTTTCGTGTCAGAAATAATCTGGTAAAGAATGTTGAGAAAGAAAGAAAAGAAAGAGAAAGAGTCATTTTGTTAGTTTGTTTTCATCCTTGTTCTCGAAGATAATGCCAAAAGTAAACAGACGTCCTCGCCATCGTGCTGCATCATCAGCTAGTTTCAACAACTAGCAACAATAATGCTGCTACCGAAAGAGGAGCATCGAATGATGTTCCTTACAAGAAGATTTCTGTCGATCAAGACAACGTAAGTGTTCTTTATGAACACATTAAGACTGCTGATGGTCAAACGAGCAGTATTCGTTTACATATTAGTAAATGAGAAGCACTTGGACCTCCATCATCACCAACAACTCAAAATGATGAGCACAATAAACAACGGGTCACAACCGTCGTCATCAACGATGACCGTGCTGGTCTGACGATCGATGTCGCATCGACCAAAAGTGATAATGATGCGTTCAACATCATTATCACAAATAATTGTAATTGACTTGGCTCTTTTGTTGTTTTTCTTTCTGTTCTGCTTGTACACGACGTTGTACTTTTTCTTGTCAGAAGATAATGTTTTTCTCTATCATAGAATACGAATATTCTAATTCTGTTTTTTTTTTGTTTCCTATAATTCTGCAATAAACTTGTTTCGTTATTTAGTACCACTGAATCACACATTTGAGTTGATGCTAATGTTTTGCAAGTGTTGTCTTGAACAATTACTGAGTAATACTTAACTACAATCGAATCATGAAAATTTTCATATTAAACGAGATAAGAACAAGAGAACTATTACTAGTAGTATAGTGATTGATACATATCGAAACAGTGCTTAAATATTGAGCCTATCTTATTTTCTGGTGACATAATTACTAAATGAACGTTTTTGTCACCAATGGTCGATCTCTTTTCCTGTTGATATTTCGAACCTGCAAATTTCGTCATCGATAGAGAATTTTACGTTGATCATTTCATCCTCTAGGTGTACAACTCGCAAATGCTTCCCTGAGGCGCTAGACGCTAATTGCTAAATCGTCACCAAAACTGTAGATCTCAGCAACTGAACACACTATCATGGTGATCAACATGCGAAACGATACATGAAATTAGCTTATTGCTTCTGACGAAATCAAAACGCTGTCACAATCATCAGCTGAACACGTTGCCAAATAATTTACGAACAAGTTAAATCATATATTGTATAGTTTTGTAGAAAGAAAAGAAATGTATTTTTCGTGTCAGAAATAATCTGGTAAAGAATNCTTTGGAAATTTAGACGTTCTTATGAAAACTTGTTAAGAAACTAATTTTCTGAGGGCTGCCCAATATCAATACATAGTAACGATCTCCTTCGTCTATTACTATGTATAATAATTGTACAAACAGATTCACTCACTTTAGCTCTGAAAAAGAAGAGAATCGTTTACTTTTACTTTCATATCAATTTATGTGAGTTATCAATAAAGCAGCTTTTGTTTTGTATTTCATCTCACATCTGTCGTGCTCACTCTTGTAAATTCAAACAATATTTATGTAATAAAATGATGCTTACTTGTAAATAAAAACCAACTGAAAGAAAAAGTTTGAGTCAACAGACATAGAACAGATACGCGAACTGTTCCCTAAAACATCTACAAAAAAAACTTGTTAACGATGACAGTTTGTGCATAGTTATCGCTAACTATTTCTTTCGTGTTCGTGCCGCCTCTCTGACCTCGTTTAACCTTGTAAAATCAGACAGGCAGCTATCTTTGAGTTGTGGTCGCACTAGTCTCACAAAGATCTCGAATCAATTCGCTCATTCCCTCAACACTGAAGTGAGGCAACCTCATATTCTGAATGAATCAATAAAGATCCTTGCTTTCTATCATCTTTCGTTCCGCCTATTAATGGCTAGTGGGCGGGAGTCTTTGGTAGGAACATTGCCTGTTTTTATCTCTCGTCTTGCTTGATTTATGAATTTCGATATCAGGCAAAATGATAAAGTTTATTTATTTTAGTTTAACATTACGGAAAATATAATTCACAACTATTAAATACGTCTTCTAAGTTTCTTCCACCACAAATGAACACCACTCCCGTTTTTGGAAGTAAAGTAGCAGTATGCCAATAGCGACCTATGAACATATGTGCTGCTGATGTAAATGTATTACTTAATGGGTTATATATTTCACAAGAAGTCAAACCATAGTTTTTTGATCCACCTGCAATTAGAACTCGGCCATCAACTAGAAGCGTGGCCGTATGATCTGCGCGATCATCTAGTGTTGTTCCATTGCTAATAAAGGTAAGCGTTGGTACATCAAACAGGTCGAATGTGCCACCACTAACAAAAAGAATTGCTTCAATGGAAGGAATATAAGTGGCTGTATGGAATGCACGTTTAACTGATAACCGCGGTACAAGAGGAATGAAACGATTTAATCTGCTGTTATATAGTATTAACGTATCTAAACAGTCACCATCATTTCTGCATCCACCAGCAATAATAACATGTTCGCTAGGTAGAACTGTTGCTGTATGAAACACTCGAGGTTCCGTCATTGAATTATTCACTGGCTGAAATGTTCCATTTTTCACATCAAAAACATCACCCGAAGCCAAATGATCTCCATCATAGCCACCAGCAAGTAACACTTTTGTTGAATTATTGCTTCGAATCATTGATGACGTGTGACGCATACGACTTGCACTCATGTTTACCGTTCTTTTCACTTGACCAGATCGAGGATCGTATAGATCAACTACCCAGCCATCCCGAATAGGATAACCTGTGTTGATACCTACAGGACATCCAGCAATAAGAAGTAGCCCATTGGGAAGAAGATTAGCCGTATGATCACATCTCGTGGTTGTCATANTTCAATATAGTTCGAAAACAATTATCTTGTAAGAAGGAAGAAAAAAAATCGTTGAAAGTTCATGCACGTGTCGGCAATTTTTTTTGCACCCTACTGTATCCGATCGTTTTCTAAGATACAAAGGATTCAATTTAACTAAGTTATAATTCAAAAAATTATCTCTTTTTACTGTAAGAGAACAAAAACGATCCGAATCATTCGATTTTGTTTCAACATCATAAATAAACCTTTTGATTAATAAGCTTTATTTCATAATTATGAAGACGTTTTTCGAAAAATCAATTTTATGTAAACTAATTGTTAAGTATTCCAATTATGAGTAAATAAATGCATTTCAGTGTTTCAATGAACGATGGAAGTAAATTTTTCTTAAGCAAAGTGCATGTTACCTTTTAAGCAGTGAAAAAAAAGCTTTCAAGCGATCGATCCCTTCGTGTACAGTGTGAAGATAAGAAAAAATAACTGTTTTTGTGTGCTCAAACTTTCTACATACGATCGTCTCATTCATATCTCAGTTGAATTCGAAGATGAGCCTGATCGGTTGTACTGATGATGTAATGGAAGTTAGCAGCGGATTCGAGTATTTCTTGCTGACATTTGCGCTCATGGAATTCTGGTGAGTGTGAAACTTCTGGGATTGATAAATCTTGTCATTCTGCATTGAATGGTGTCCTTGAGTGGGATCGGTCCATCATACCTTGGTAATTTTCACGTTTCTTTCGTTGTGACAAGTGATCGATTTGGTAAAGCTTTAAAAAATAAACCACTGTCATCTGCATTGTAAACATCACTTGGATCATATTTATGAATAACTGATGAAATTCGAATCTACTATTGCAGATTCGCCGTATATTGATTTATATTTTATTCCATGTCGTTTTCAAAATTTTTCGAGTCAACCATTACTAGCTTTAAAGTCATCATCATTTGTTGGATCCAGTTGTTGACGAATTTGCCCTGCTTGTTCGTGTGTAAGCGGGCCTGCAGTTGGAATATTCTTACTACGTTGAGTTGCGAACCATTCATAAACTTTTTGGTCAAGCTGTTGATTGAATTCATCTGGAAAAGTACGTTCTTTGTTCGAATTTTCATTTTGTTTGTAACTTTCTAAATATTCCGCTTTGCGTTTAATAATATTTGGCAATTTTCAGCAATTATATGATAATTAACATTCTGTTTATTTTCATGAATTAATTTGACTTTATCAGATAAAGTTAAGGTACGTTTTGTTGCCATTTTACAGTCGAATATGGAAGTGTCTCACTCTCTCACATATAATGGATTAAATCGCCACGGACTATTTATTTTGATTGTTCTTTTTGTTTCATACATGCGACAATAAGCTTGTTATTGTGAATTAACGATCAAAAGTTAATTTATTATCACTGAAATATATCGACTATTTATTTCATCTCTTTATTTTATACACGATTATATAGAGGTTTTCTTTCACAGAAGGGACTATAAAAACCGTTCATGGTTCAGAGGTCGGAGGCCTATTTACAGTCAAAATCGATCGGGGGACTGAAACATGTGTTCATTAGTAGAAGTTCCACTGTAACGAGAAGAATTTTCACGTAATTGGAAGATCAAGGAAGCAAATACTCTCTTAATNTCCATACATTTCTCTAATGTTATTGTAACAAGTGGCCAAATTGAGGTGATTTGAAGGAAGACGCTTTTGACAGACATCAAGGCCCTTTTCGAAATATGAAAGTGCTTTGGAGTATTCACTAGTACTGGTGGCATATACCGAGCCAATATTGTTGTAAGTAGTCGCTCAATGGGAATGATTTTCAGGAAGTGTTTTTTGTTTAATTTGAAGAGCTTTTTGATAGAAACGAAGTGCGTTTGAATATCGACTCATTTTCTGACATACTTATCCAATGTTACTGTACACATTAGTGAACCATGGATCAGTCACCGGAAGAGTCTCGGCAGTTTCAAGTGCTTTGTCATAGAAAAAGATCGCCTGACCATAATCGTCTTGAGCATTTTTGATCAGACCGATCTCACAGTTAGTGGCGGCGCCAAGAATGGGCTCATAGCCCATCCTACGATTTTTTTGGATCTTGAAAACAACTAATGATACTATATGTGAAAGATGTCGCAATATAGTACGGCTAGTTTATCAATACGATCTTCTCTTATTTTTTATTGATTGACTATTAAAAACCACACGAAAAAAACTTATTAAAGTAAATTATAATCTTCAAAAATACAGCCGGAAAAACGTAGAACAAGTGAGTCTATTTTTCGTTCATTGAAAAAAAGACACGTTTAAATGAAGACGAAATGGAACTGACTACCATCGATTCATCAATATCATGATACGAATCTCAAGATCTTTTTTCTTCTTCACCTTTCGACAGTCAAAAGAGTGCATCCGATGTTAATTCTATCGCTTCATCGTCGACTCTTATTATCTGTAGTCCTTCAAACAATACTTTTCACGTAAAATCTACTTGTGATTCTGCCGATATTAGTAAATCATGTAATGATATTCCTACTCAGTCAAAATTGACCAGTTATCCAATCAAGTTGGTACAAAGAAAGACCTTGGTTGGAATATTCTGTAAAAAAACAATATGGCTTATTGTTATTATTGCCGTCATTTTTCTTGTAATCGATCGAATAATCACGATGCTTTTACCACAACTGGATTCAATAATTGGAAGCGAGCTTTGGAAGCTACTGGCGGTCTACTGAAATATTCTCAATCGAAATTACACGTAACCTCTACCAAAAACTACGAATCATATGTTTCGCAACGACAAAGTAACGCCAATGTTATGAATAAATTAGATCCTAGTCGAGTCATTCATATTCGTAAAAATCGTGATCGTCTTATAAAAATATGTTCAACAATACATTTTTTAGCATGCCAAATGATTAGTTTTAGAGATCACAGAGAAAATTCTCAGTATGTTTTCTAAAAACCCGTTTTGACAAATATTTTTTATTCGTTTTCTGCTTCTTACAG